GCTTTTGAGGGCAGAAATAAGAAACGATCCAAACAGAAATGCTATATGAAATGCAGAGACAAATGAGGACAATGTACATTAGATGTGCAGACTAACACTAAAACCAATGAGAAAAATTCTGAGAACTGGTATAAAGTGTTTATTTTTGCCCAATGAACTGATGTGTTGCTTTTATATAATAAGGACAATTATAATAATCCATTTTTCCATTTCTGACTTGGTTGTTTGGAACTTTCAAAAATGTTTTACATTTAATTTTTACCTAGGGGACTTGGTCTACACTTTCTAGTATAATTATCTTCAATTCAGTTTATAGTATAATTTATCTTGTGTTAAAAAATTACAGTTACATAGTGTTTGTGCCTTTTATTATAAAGGGCTACAAATTCTTCATGGGAAAGAGATGTAAAGTTTTTGAGGAAGCAAGTCTAGCACACAATATGTGATCAATAAATATCTAAATGAAGTCCCCAATCTTGCTCTCCTGTTGCTCTCTGACCTACCTGCTCTGCTACTCACTCACGCCACTGCAACCACATTTGCCTGTTTCTCAAACACCTCAGAACATCTGCACCTCAAGGCCTTTGCTTTTGTTTCCTCTGCTTGGAAATGCTGGTCTCCCAGATATCCGCAGTGCTTTTGCCCAACCTTTCTTGCAGTTTTAGCTCAAATGTTATCTTCTCAGTATGGTTTTCTATTATCAGCTCTCCCTTACTCCTGAAATCTCTTATGCTGCTCTATTACCTTGTAAAATAATATATAATTGTTTATTTTCAATCTTTCTGCCATGTGAATGTAGCCTCCACAAGGCAGGGATTTTTTTTTTTTTTTTTTTTTTGGTGCCTGTTTTGCTTTTGGATGTATCTCCATCTCATAGGATGGTGTTTGGTATTTCAGTGCTAACAAGAATTTGTTGAATGACTGAGACAAAGTAAGCAAGAATCACAATGTCTATATTTAATAACCCTTAGAAACTTCTTTAAAAACCTTAAAAAATCAGCCAAGACCTTTTCCTCCACAAAACTTACCACAATTTAACTATTTAGATTTACTCTTTCCTCTTTAAAACATTTGAGTAAAACACCAATTATGTGCCGGGGCACTTTGCTATGGCTGAGAACAAAGATGAAAAAGGCCCTGACCTTTCCAAGAGCTCATAGTAAAATAAACTTTAAAATTTAAAACTACAAATACAAGGTATGTGTAGGGCTTGGTATATATAGAAAATACTAAAGTTTAGCTTCCTTCCCCTCTGGTGTTCCTGCTACTGGTATGAATAAGGTAAATACTAGACATTAGAGGTGCAGTAGTATAATGAAGAAATAATGAGATAGGCAGGACTTCAGTTTCAGACAAAAGAACAGATCACAAATTATAACACTCTTATGCAGAAGACCATTATTTAACAAGGTTAGTTTGTCCTGAAGGCTGACAAATGGCTCAGATGACCTGAGAATATTCTGAGAACCATTATGTAAACTTCAATAGTATCCAAAATTAGTGATATCCTGACATTTCAACAACTATTAATTATAATTAAAATAAGAAATATAGTAATTAACAGTTAAGTATTAATTAAAACATTTACTAGCCCACACTTACCATCTGCCTCTCCCAAGGCAAATACATTTTGTATATGACACCTATAATGCCCTGTCACTTTTTCCTATTTTTCCCTCTCTGGTAACAACAACTGGGGTGCATAAATAGATTAGAGTCACATGAGCAGATCAGCGTCCCTGGAGTCCTTTATGACAGTTGTGAAAGCATGGTTACAGGTGTACTTTCCTCTTTTGAATGGTAGAAGTCCTCTGAAATCTGCCTCTTATATCTTTCTCTCTTACTGTCTTGGTGTAAAAAATTAGGTGTTTATGGTAACTGAGTCAATTATTCCAAAATTTTGCTCTGATATATTCTAGAGAAGAAAAAATGTTATTTTTTTTCAAAAATAGCATTTTGGAAGTATGTTATTGACATTTTTCAAATTAAGCTGGGATTTATTATATATCTAGATGCGACTGAATCCACAGGCCTACTGTATCAAAGGTTTACAAATTAGTACCCAGTAGGTTCTGCAAAGGTGTTTTATAGATCTCACATAATTTTAACTCAAATTTTGTTTGCTAAAATGCTTTAATTTTTAGAAATTGTAAAAATAGTATTTAGATATAGGCAAAATTTATAAAATATTGAAGAACACTAATGCATTCACTTGTATGGCAAGCTTATCTTTTGTGTGGAGCTTCTCTTGCCCTATACTTGTATTTGAGTTTTTCGTTGTTGAGGCAGGTAGCTGTACATTTTAGGCCAGCCCATATTCATTTGCATAAACTAATATGCTACTAGAACATGTATGCAGTACATGTGTTATAAAAGTGTGGATTAGTGCATCTAATTAACAATGCTCTGGTCACAACCTAAGAATTTCACAGTAACAAATGAGAGAGTCAAGGTGCTGTTATGCCTTACAGAGGTCTTTTTAAAAGGAGGGGAAGATCATATCTATGAGTTTATATAAATACAATGTTTACCTGCTTTATATATTTGGTATTACAAACACATTTGACTAGGAGAAAAAAAATCTGCTACTAAAACTGTAGCACTATCAATGTTGCCTATCTTACCAAGGAATAAAAGATTCTTGGGAATTAAGCACTGATCATTAATTTTTTTAAAATTTATTTTTAAAGAATACAAAAGGAATTTCTGAACATGGCCAGAATTTCCACCAGGGAGTCAACTAGTTGCTTCAGCATTAGAGCATTCATCAATCTAAAAAATAAAATAAAACAAAATCCCATTATAGGGCAAAGTGGTATTAGTAATAATAAGTTCTAAAAAGAGAAGGAATTTAGCAGGTTTGGAAGTGAGAATGTGGCATAAGAAAAAAATATCAAACAATGCCATCCTCAAAGATAAGCAAATATTCTAAACCTAGAGACTCTTAAGTAATGTATGCAATTCCATGCAAATAAACTATTAAGCTAGTGGGTACATGGAAAAAGCCCTGGTTAAGAGTTGGGAAAAAAATGGAAACCACCACTAAGTACTGGTAAGAACTCTGTATTGGACCAGGCCTCAGATACTGAACCAAATAATAATTGGTAAACTTTAGCTTTCTCACCTGCAAAATGGAGGTATACTCTATGTACCTATCCTGATTTAAAGATCAAGTAAGGCCTAGTGTGGTGGCTCACGTACATAATCCCACCACTTTGGGAAGCGAAGGAGGGGAGGATCACTTGAGACCATGAGTTCAAGACCTGTCTGGGCAAAATAATGAGACCCCCGTCTCTACAAAAAGTAAAAAGAATTAGCCAGGTGTAGTGGTATGCACCTGTAGTCCCAGCTACTTGGGAGGCTGAGGCAGGAGGATTGCTTGAGCCCAGGAATTTGAAGCTACAGTGAGTTATGACTGGGCCGCTGCACTGCAATCTAGACGGAGACCCTGTTTCAAAAAAGGAAAAAAAAAAAAAATCAAATGAGATACATATTGAAAAAGATCTATCAAAATAGACCCATAAGAAAAACTGAATGTAAGAAAGGGAGAAGGTAAATCGAGTCTCTTTTCCACTACCACTCTCCTAGACCTATAAGCACCAGGTACATGCCCTTCTAACTATATATTATTGAGGACAGAATCTACTAATATTGTTCATTTCTTCAACTTTTTCCTCTTCCTTTTCCTTCCCCTTTTTAAAAATAAAAATCTAGCTGATTTCTGTGACCCAGACATTTACTGAAACTTAAGCAGTGACATATTGGGATAGCCTGGCTCAAAACAGCTTCCTTTTAGAAAACTTTTAATATTAATAAAAACTTCAAAATTATAGTAATAGGGTAAATTTATGTTACCTTATAGAAATAGAACCGCATACTTTTGACTCCTATATTTTTAAAGTTAGTATATTTTGTAATCGGTCATTTTGAAGGCATGAAACAGCAATATGATACTCTCTATCATATTGTAGCTTATATAGCAGTTAACCCCAAAGAACTTTTCCAAAATAAAAGTCAAGAAATGGATTGATTTAGTCATTGGGAGAAACATAATAAAAAAGATATTTCATTCTAAACCCAATTATGTTTTGGACAGCAGTTCTCATATGTACAATATCTGCTGAACATGCATACTCACACAGGCCACACACATACAGTGTGAAACATGGAACATAAAAAAAGACTGTGTTACCAGTCAGCTTTCATCTTTGGAACCAAAGGTTTTCATTAGCAAGATACGGCTAATGGATAGTTAATAATTGTTAGTGGGGTTTGCTCTGTATTCTTTTTATAATGACAAATTGAGGGACAATCTACAATGTTATTATGTCCTATGGGAAATACATAGTTCTAGTTTGGAGAGTATTTGGCCCTCTGGATATTTTCTTCTTGCAATAGACTCAATGAGTGTTGGCGCTGGGAGTCTCAAATAAACCAAGAAGGACTAAGTGGTCATAAACGTTTAAGCAAAAGAATAAAGTTAGCCTAATGAATCAGCAAATATCTACTTCACTTTTTTCTTTTATAAGATAGCACTATAGCTGCTTTGCATTTGGCTTTCAAGTATTTGCATGTGAAATGCTTTTAAAATGGAGGACAAATAACAGCAATACCTATCATTCTGTGAGCATGAACAGGTGAAGTGCTGTAAATAGAAAAAATAGAATTCAATCTTTGTTGTATTAATTTAGGCTTACTACAAGCTTTCTACCAAAGCTCTGAAATCAAAAGTAACTCTTAATTAGTTACAAATGTGTTAGTAGGTTTAATCTTGGACAAATTCTAAGTTGAAGAATGACTTAAAATTAAAGTAAATTTTACATTTCAATAGAATATTATCTTTATACGTTTTACTAAGCCTATACTTGCAGCTAAGAAAAAGCAGAGGTCTAATTTTAAAAAGCCACCAAATATTTATGGTAACAAAATCTTGTACTACAAAGCAACTATCTGGAAACTCACTGTTATTTTTACCCACTTATAAAAAACTAGTTCTCAGATTCTGCATACAGACAGCTTTATGTAAAATATATAAACATTTGTCCAAATTGGTACACAGATTGCATAAATATGGCAATTAAGATTGCGTTTACAGATGTGCAGGTACAATGCTGTGCAAATTATCACAATATTACAATTTCAAAAATTATTCAAATTGGTATCCAAGGAAAGCAATTAGTGAAAAAATACCCATGCAGAATTTAAATATTTCAGAACAAAATTTAAAATGTCTTCATTAAAAGTTCACACATTTAAAATAATTTTATTCATTTTATTTGTATATGTCAAAATACATTTTTATTTCCAAAATAGTGGGTTTTGCAACTAGTTTCATGCAGAAACAAGGTCTGCTCAATACTACCAATAAAATCAATATAGCACAGTAGCTGTTCAGTTTTAGATACAAAGAATAAATAACCTAAATACAAAACACTAAAATATTAGAAACATGTATTTAATCATTCTTCACAGGCATCCAAACTTCACAAATATAAACCATAGCATGCCTAACTGTTGTGCAACCAGAACATGTTGCAGTCACTCAAACTGATCAATTATCTGTATATTTTACTTCCACATAAGACCATGGAAATTCTCAATATTCAGACCCACCATTCATACAGTTCAAATATAACCAAAAATAAAATTCCCACAACTATCCTTGTACCTTTAAAATCAAGAATCCTGAGCTTGGTAGTAAGAGCATAACCTTATATCTTCATAAAACCAATCAAGAGAGAGAGGACTGAAAATCCTACTTACCAAAACACCCTTCCCCAACCCCAAAGTAATCTAAAATAGGCAGTAGAACACAATGACCTTTTAAAATGAAGGGGTACAAATTCACATTTAATATAGTATACAATACAATCAATAATACAATCAGCTACTATAAGCTTTACAATGTATAATTTATTCAAATGGCTGAACTGTTCAGTGGTTAAGGAGACAGTTATGTGCCAGAAAGATGTAATATTTTTTGCATGGTTTAATGAAAATATAAAAGCTATTTGTCCAAATAAAAGCCATCTTCACTATACTTGGTTTTGCTTTTTTTTTTCCCTTAAAAAAAGGCCACTGAAATGTATAAAATGGTCTGAACATGATGGTGGTATCAAAGTCGATGCCTCTTCACATGGCAATAACAGTGCATTTAACATTAACTCATGGGTTAAGTCTGCAAATGATTTCATAGCACTTTGGCTAGCACAACAGTTTTAGACAGCACTCTGATAAATATAGGTATGTGAAATGTGAAGCAATTACCTTATGCAACTTTAATTATGGTTAAATACTATCAAATGAAAACTGAAAATAAAAGTAAAAGCACTTTACAGTAGAAAACTTTTGTAAAGATAGGGCTCCACATAATGTGTAACTTTTAAAGTCTTTACATCACATTGTTAGCAAATTTTGTTTTTAACACTATCATGGAGTAGCCTACTTTGCATTAACAGACATTTGAAATAAGAAAATAGTCAAGCATGCCATTATGGTGGTCTAAAATCAAAACGATACACTTATTTGTATATACAGCATCACTCAGTACCTGCTAAAATGAATGTGAAGATTACAGAATCTAACATCTTATACTACAATAGTAAAAAAACAAAAACAAAAAAGTGACCAATGAAGGCAGGAAATAGGATTTAAAAGATCTAATCTCAAATGACTTTAAAGCATTCATATAAGAAATAAATGCATATTGCACAAACAGTGAAAGCAAATGTTCCACCAAGCAATTCAGTTCTGGGTGGGAGACAACATGGCATTAGCCTAATACATGACAATAATCGCAGAAGAGCAAGTGTTCTTTTCTGTAAATGAAAAAGCTGTGAAAACATAGAAGACTCTGCCACATGAAGAGTTAGAAGGAAAAAATACAAACCCAAACTTAGACATAAAGCCAAGAAAATTAAATATCAAAAAACTGGAAATTGTGGCACATCAAAAAATGTTGAATAACTGTCTTCTGTGAACGCTGAAAGTTTTTGTTGACACAAAGTATTTATGTACAACTAAGGCGTACTGGTTAAATATCTGAGGCATATCTGGCCTTGAACACTTTCCTTATATGCTGGAGCTGTAAACAAGTTTTCTCAGTCATTAAAAAAAAAATCTTCTCAGCAGCTGCATTAACATGAAACAATGGTCTTGATAAAAAAAAAAAAAAAAAAAAAAAAAAAAAAAAAAAACAAACCAACAAAAACCCCCCGGAAAATTAAACAAAATGAAACAAAAATTCTAGATAAGAGGGCATTTGGCAGGATATTCAAAAATGACAGTCTCCAAGGATTCTTCCCAGGCTTCCAGTGACTGCCAATTATGGTCCACTGGGTTACTAATATGTGCAATTCCATTACTTGCTGCTTTTTTTTTTATTTGGAAAGTTTGCTTATAACTCTGATCAAGGCCCCATTTTCATCTTTTAGCCTCTGGTTGTCTGCTTTTAGGTCTGGTAACATCTATGAGAGAAAAAGAGAAGAAAGGGTTTTACTTTAATAAAAAAATAAAACATTATTCTTAATAAATGTTATATTTTCACCACAAAACACATGATCAAACTTTGTCTAGTGTCTAAAAGATGTATCAGGAAGAAGGAAAAAACCCACCCAGATTTGTGAAACTAATTAGTTTAATAAATGATAGAATGAAAGGTTTATTCTCTCAAAGTTATCCATTGAAATGTACTAAATCACTTGATTTTATGACTCACAAGCACACCAGATTAGAGCAGCCAAGATAATGAAGCCTGTTTTTGTTAGGATAGGCTAAGGGAGTTCCTTTAACAGTTCCTGTCAGCACCTAAACCTTTTGCTTTCTATCTGTCACACCTATAACCATAATACTATTGTTCCTCAAGAAATCAACCCATCTAGGAAAGTTTTGAGGGATTAGGCTTGTTCTAAATTATTTAAATTCCTTATACACCTATAGTACCTAAGTCTAAGTACCTAAGACAATGCCTAATTCAAAACAGATATGTATTAAATGGTAACAAAACAATTATTACTATTACTATTCTTAGATTAGAATACCATAAAATAATTTTTAAGCTAAAGGAGTAAATCTGCATCTATGATCCAAGCATTAACAAAATAACCAGTATTTTGAAGCAAACAGAAAAAAACACACACTCATATCTTCAAAAAAAATGCAACTCAATTTTCTGTTGTTTTACAGACAAATTGATGGAGGGGGTGAAAATACTACAAGCTAACTGAATTTTTTAATAAGAATGATTAAAATTGTATGTCTCTGCCAGGTTCACTAGGAAATGAACTACCTTATATTTTGGTCTTTATAGTTCCCAAAATATTTAGTCCTTTTTCCTCAGTTTTAAAAATGTACTAGATTATCTAATTAGATAAAAGTAAAACTTCTACTTGCAAAACTACCTTAAGCAAAATCTTTAGGAAGAGTTTAATTTTATGTGGAGCCAATCAATTCTTATCTGTGTCCAAAATGTTTACATATAACATATAGTAATCTGAAGTTTACTCATTTGGATATCTGTAATAGAGAACTAAATGAATATAACCTAAGATGGTCCTGATTGCTAATGACAGTATTTTGAAAAACAGATAATGCATGCTTAATCTTCAGCTTCAAAATATATTATATGTAAAATATATGTTACACTGTTTCTTTTCTATTTTCTTTCTAGTAAAGAACTATAAATAATAGCCATATTTTAAGCCCTAAAATATTTGTAGAGCCAGAAATGTGCACAAGCTTTACAAAACTATAGACAAGCCTTTAAATTCCTAAATCATTCCCTACTTATAGTGTAGTTCATCAGTTATAATATACAATTAGTGACACTTTCTAACATTCTAAGAAGCCATGCAGAATTAAACAGTTATATGATAAGCTCCAGACACAATGGCATTAATTTGTAAAAAGTGAGCTCTTACTAAAACAAAAACACACTTACTAATACAAAAACACCTGCCTGGCTCTACCAAGAAGATATGATGAAACTAAAAATTATAGGTTCACAGACTGCAGTTGCCTACAGAACCCTGAGCGCTTGGCTACCACTCTTGTCAAGGCCCTATTCTCAGTCAGCAGTCGCTCATTTAACTCCCTCAGAGTTTGAATTTGCTTTATTTGGTGCAGGTTCTGCAGGAATCAGAACATAAAGAAATAAGAATAAAAAATAAGAAAATGGAAGACAGTCTGGTACAAATATAAAGAATCACAGATAATAAATATAAAAAAAAATATTAAATCTTAAAAGAATACTCCAAGAGATTCAGAAAGGTAAATAATGTATTTCTTAAATTCCATTTCAAACTAAACAATATATAAAGCAAATAAAACCCAGAAGATTTGTCTCCAATCTTCAAAGCCATTAAATAATGTTCTAATGATAAACCAAATTAATAAAACATCTAAATCTTTAACTTCTAATTCAATGGGCATAATTTCCCATGTGTTAGTTCATCAATTCATACTGTGGTAAAGAGACTTCATGAAGACAATGTGATAAAAAGTAATCAATTAACTATGCTATTTTTTCCTCTGCAAAGGCATTCAAACAGATGATTATTTCCATAGGTAATGTAGTTTGATAAGAATATAGCTCTGCCTGTTCATTCCTCTAATGCCCTTTATCTTCAAAGAAGAACATTTTATTAATAGCTTATATTATTCCCCTCTACCATATACTCTCCAAGAAACACAGGAAGGAGTAAACAGAAACGTGATGAATAACAAATCCTCCATCTTATAGCTGTTATTGTCTAATCTTTTCTATACCTGCATATCAAAAGTGCTATACAAATTGATTATCAAAACGATTTGGGTTTTAAATCCTCTTTGAGCTCACTAAAACCTGGATTTAGGAAGAAAGAGAAACACCAGCTATAAATAGCTCACAAATTGGGTAATTAGCTTTTGAGAACAATTAATGTAAACAGTATCCATAATAGTATCAGCAATATCTCTCATAAATAACATGATCCACTTACTTTGAGCTCTTCTTCCATTTCAGATATTCTTCTTTCTAGAGCTCTTCGTTCCTAGATCAATTTAAGGTACCAATATTAATTATATAATTATTATATTCTTAAAGTTTTCTTCTATACTGTCAAAGAGTGATACTTTAGAATCAAAGATCAAATCAGGAGCAGTGTGGAAAAGATGTGATGCCAGTGATGTGTAAAGAGCTTTCCAAAATTTGACAGAAATAAATCTGAAGATCTTTACTTTTATTACTTTTTATAAGCTCTTTCTTTAAAGCTCTGATTTTCTGGTAAGATGCTATATAACATGTTCAAACAATTTTTTAGTTCACAAAAAACGCAGAGATAGAATAAACCAATATTCAAGACTGAGGATTGTATAGAAAAAAAACTCACACAAAGATGCAATTATACTACAGTGATAGAAGCAGAAAAGAAGCAAACATGCCTAAAATATGTGTACTTTACAGTTTCAAAAGGATATAAGAGAAGCTCATTTCCTCCACCCACAATGTTTACTAGCCATTGTTTATCCAACTGACTTTATAGCTTTGTATTTAGGTTGATACCGTGTGTAGCATTAATGCGGTGAATCTGATGGAGAAGCAATTGCAGCATTTATTTTAAAATCCTTTCAAAGAGTGACAGGCAAAGCCAACACACAATACATTATTGCAGTGTACTGTTTTATTCTCCCTTAAAGATTAGCATTCTATGTGTTATGCAAAAAGCAAGCAGCAATAATTGATGAGCTGTAAAACTGGTTAGGTCATACCGCCCAGAAGATACTGACTCTTGCCGGTCACCTTTCAGATACAAATCATTTAAATTTAGTTTAATCATAGTGAAACTATTTCCAAGACATTCTTTCCCAGATTAATAATAAATGTTCATATTTAGTAAAGTAGTACATTTACTTATGAATGTTAATGTTCTTAGGATATATAATTATAAAAAATAGAATCCTTTTCATAGTCTTATAAGTACGTTATTCTAATATTCGCATGCTTAAACATTATTACATAGACAAAAATGTTATTTTCTATATATGTAGACCTTTCTCTTAGTTAATAATACAGCCATGATGAATTCATATAAACCACTGCACTTCTCAAAATACCAGCATATATAATAATAGCATATATTGATCCTCACCACTTTTGAAATACCAGAAATAGAATATTTCTTCTGACTAAGAGGTAATTTCCTTATGAGCCTCAATTTTATTAGATTTGGACTAGTGATAAAGCAAGACTAGAATACTATACCCAATTTCCTGATCCTAGTGGGTCAATGTAACTGACAATTATAAAATTACAGACAATTATAAAATTGCAGGCAATTTCTTATGTTTGATAAACATATGAACACTAAAAAACATAGTTAGGAAAAATGCACATCAAGTGCTTTGTTTAGTGCCTGCCTGATATATAGAAAATGTTGAATAAATGTTAGCAGTTATTATTACTATTATTATTAATACTATGATTACTGATGTCTAGGAAATTGAGAGTGAATTAACTACTTGTAATTTATCAGCATTTGACAAACATTTGACAGCATTTGACAAGAAAAAGGAGGTGAGACGAGAATGTCAGAAAATGAACGTGTGTGTTTTCTGTGTATATAAGCCTAGGGAAAAAAGAATAGGTACCAAAATATCAGTTATCTCTGCATGATAGATTATCAATGATGTTGACTTTTCTTCTTTTGTATGTTTTTGTATTAAACATATATTACTTTCATAAGAAAAATTAAATATCTCTCAAAAATTGTAACTGTCTTAAAAATAAAGAATATTTTCATCAAGTAGTTTGCTATCCATGTCTTTCATCTCAAAGATTAATATAAGAAAACTGATTGTATTATTTCTGTGTATCTTAGAGATAAAATTCAGTAAGTTATATGCTGTAACAGGATATAATAATCAACATTAAATAAATGTTTAAATAAATGTCTAAGTGACTATATTTTTAGCATTAGTTGTATCAGTTTTTAAAAAATGGCTCAGAGCACTAATTTTTAAAACTTGCTGAAATCATAATAAAATGATAGCTATTGCAAGGTACAATTTAGTAAATGAAACAGGTATTAATAGAACGTATTTGTTTACTTTAATATTCTGGTTTTTTACCATTTCATTTTTTTTTTTTTTGGTGAAAAGGGTAAGTTGGTTATTTTAAAAATGGAATGGAAGAAAAATGTTTTTATACCAATAGCTCCTGATTATTTACTCTTTAACCTAGAGACATAACTACCAGGATGTAAGTTATTCTCTAGTTGAAACTCGCAGGTTTAGCCACTGTTCAGCTGCACTATAAACACTTTTGAGCACTTCAACTTTTGGATCATTTATACATTTTTTAAAACTGCCCAGACCAAAACTTGTAGAGTTATTTCCAGACCCTTGAGCAGGCGTCCTTAAACTACAGCCTGCGGGTTACATGCGGGTGTTTTTACCCATTTGTTTTTTTACTTCAAAATAAGATATGTGCGGGTGTGCATAGGAATTTGTTCATAGTTTTTTTTAAACTATAATCTGGCCCTCCAATGGTCTGAGGGACAGTGAACTGGCCCACTGTTTAAAAAGTCTGAGGACCCCTGCCCTTGAGCAATAATGTGTATAAGTAAATATATCACAACCAATAAAAAATTGCAGAAAGACATAAAATGTTATAAGGATGTTCTTGTAATCAATTTTTGTTTAAAATATCACACATCAGTTAAATGTTTAAACTCAAAATTAAAATATTATTAAACTAACCTTAAAAAGAATTTGAAAATGTTATGCTCCCAGACTTAAAAACTTTATTTAAAGAATGTAATTATTTTAATTTTCCAAAAAATTAAAATAAATGTATGTATGGTTTAAATGTTTTCAGTACAGAAAATCAAAGACAGATAAGGGGCATTTCAAAAATATCAGATTCATTATCATAATGTGTATAGTACATTTCAGAATCAAGACAAGATAGTTTTTTCAATTCATTAAAAGACTAATGTAGTATATTAAATTTTAACAAGGCTATTTCATACATAGGTATGAAATTTACAAAGAAACTAAGCCATAAAACACTTTCATTAAGTTAATAAGTATTAACTTAAGCTAATTAAAACTACCATCCATAAAAACAAAATGAAAAAAAAAATCTACCATTGCTTACATAAAACAATAAAGGTAGAAAATAATTACTTATCCAGTAAGATGGAAACTTACCCTTTTTTCCATTTCCAATAGTGACCTATCAGCAAATCTTTCTTGTCTCTGCAACAAAATAAGAAATTATAAAAAGAGATTATCAATTATCAATGATTTTAATTTTTCTTCCTTTGTATGTGTTTGTATTTATAATTGCAATACAAATGTTTTGTATTTGTAAATGCAATAAAGATGGGGGAGGGACCATAGTAACTCCTTTAATAGGTTTTAAAAGAAATGTTTTGTATTTGTAAATGCAATAAAGATGGGGGAGGGACCCACAGTAACTCCTTTAATAGGTGTTAAAAGAAATCATAATACTCAGGTGGAGTGTAACGCAGGTGTGTGTAAAGAAAAAAATAGAATTTGTACTGAAATAAAGAGTAAAAGGAATGTTTAGAAATAGAACGGTCTCTATAGCTCTCATTTTACGGTCTATTATCATTTTTCAAATTTTCAGGAATTTTCAAAGTTTATTTAGGGGTGAGGGTGAGTTAAGTACTATAGAACAAAAAAAAGTCTTAGCTTTCCCTCTGATGCTCAACTGCTCTCCTCCTTTCCTGCACCACTAGAAGCGGCTAATCTGAATGGTCAGATTACAGGACCTTGATTGAAATGTGTTTCTTACCAGTTGAGCGATTTTGTATCCCCGTAGCCAGACCAGTAAATTAGCCTTTTTGTCCTCTCTCACAGCTATCTTAGTCTTGGCTCACTCTCTAGAGTTTTCTTTTCTAATCATCCATGCTCCAGAATCGGTAAGAAGGTTCATACTCACTTTCCCTTACAAGAAATTCCAGCTATACAGCTTTCTTCTCCTGGTGTGCTTGGGTTTCTCATTTTTTCCCCCTTCATGTACTATGTGACCAGCTCAAAGCTGATAAAATCTTCAGTTCTAAGTTTAGCTTTAGGGGGGATGGAAAGATCCCTTGAGTTTTAAGTCACATGTTGCACCCTATACAAGAGAGCTCGGTATCTGGATACTGAGCATATAGGCCCAGTTAAAAAAAGTGGTACCTTAGATCCTATTTACACTGACCTTTGTACAAACATCTCCTTGGGATTTCTGGTCAATTTGCTGAAAACGAATTTATCAAATAAATGGCTCATGCTTCAAAAGCCAATTTTACCAATTTACTAAAAATGGTTGTTGACAACTTTAACAAGAATGTTTTGTGGCTAATAACCACAAAACATAATTTAAAAACATAACTTCATTATTGATTAAGCACCATTTCACTGTTCAATTGGATAACTTTATTTCTTTATATTTTGCCAACCCTTTCAGCATTTATGCTTTAGTATATTTACAATTTGTAACCATGTTACTTTTTGATCCTTCTTTCACAATTTCTTCTTTATGGATATGGTATATAAAATTTAAAGAACTAACCATGGCCAGATATCTTTACTTTTTTTCTCTGTTATTTTAAATGGCATTATGGTTTGGGCTTACTCTTTCTGGAAAAATAAAAGTTGTTATGTCCCAATTGCTTCTTGTGAGAAATTCAATTCAGAATTTCAAATATGAACAGGACTTTGCTCTTTTAAGGAGGAAAAAAAAACCCCAAGTATGACCAAAACTGTTCAGCTAATTCTGGCTTCTTTTTGATGGTTTTGAGTTTGAATATTTATTTTAATTGCTAGAAATAGAAAATAAAGGCTGATATGCCTCTTCTACAAATGAATCATAAAAACTCTTAGAAGACTGAAAAACTTTTAAATGACATTCAAAAGTACTTTTAAAAAAATCAAAAATAGCCAGAGCAATGCTATCACACACAAATTAACAAAACTTTAGATAGAAAAATAGCATTTTATTGGGGATTTTTTTAATATGGGAACATTTTAGCAATTTTATGATTTGTCAATTTCACAGATTTAAAAAATCGACATCAGTTTAGATATTTTTACCTAGTTAATATTTTTGGTTAAACATTCCAGTTAAAGGTTTTAAAATCACAATTAGTAAATGTGGTGGTCATTTGGCAATGAGGTATGCAGCAAAGTGATTTCTGGTAAATGGGCCTATTCCCTCCCTTGGAGATTATATAGGAAGGGTGCCTGGGCTAAGGCAGGATTCAAGGATTCCAGGGTCTCTTGGCTAAATACGATCAAACAGACCTAAACTTCAAGATTAAACAGATGATAGTTCTCTTAGAAAAATTCCATGCAATTATTAAAACTGCCATTGCTTTGTATATTCACAAATAGTTACGAAAGCAATCAATGCTTAAAAAAAAAAAATCAGGTGGACAAATTCATAGACTTAAATAATCAGGATAAATACCCTAAAGTTGAACAAAAAAAGTTTAATGTTTATCAGTTTTTCCTTTATTAATCGTCCTTCTCATATTAAGTCAGTATACCGGATGTGATACTCAAGAGTGACTGGTAAGGCAGAAGCTATCTTACTTTTTAATCCAGTGACTTGTTTCTCTTGCCATAGGAGAAGGATCAGAATTGGTAGCTAACCCACAGGCAGTGTTATGTAGGTTGTCCAGTGACCTACAAAAGGGTCACTAACAAGACCATGAACATTAACAGGCTGCTCCACACTGGATAGTAACTGGCTAATTCTATCAATTCCCCCCTCTTGCAGATTTTGACTGAGAGATGTACAGGAAGAACTAGTTGACAATAAGGTAGGCAGAAAAGCAGAGAAACAATAAAAAAAGCAGTAAGTGGTAGAGACACAGATTAGCTGAGTCACCATAACAACAGAACTCTATAGTAGGGAGCAGTGGTGGACAACTTTACTTAGAACACATTACAATCAAACCCCTAGAGCTGAAGCTACATTCAGTGAACTCACGATACTTTTATGTATGGAGGCTCATACTAAGCTACTAAAGCTCATACTAAGCTACTAATGAAACCTAAAGGATGATAATGTACCAGTTTACCGTGAAGCCTATTGAATAAAATCCTTCTACTATTTTTAATTTATTCCAGAAAAAAGTAAATAATCAGTAAACAGCATTATCTTGATTCCTTTTTACTAATAAGCATTATTAATACCAAACTTCTGTTTAGAGAAAATTAGAGAAAATTTCAATGCCATTTTTTAGATACAGTAAATCATAACTATTACCTTGAGAGTAACCAAGAGAAAAAGGTACAAACCTGGGTGGCCTTTTCCAATTGCAATTTAAGATCTGTTAGTTCCATATTTGTATCATGTAGCTGTGCCTTCAGCTTTTCATTTTCAGCTAGAATTTGTTCATAAAGCTATAAAAATCAGAGTAGAAATACAAATTACTTTTCTGCTCTTCTAAAAATTTTAAGATTTCTCTGCAATATTAAAGCAAAGACTAATGAAAATGAAGCACATGAGCTATAAAGGGTATATTAAAAATATGTTTTAATGCTTTATGATTGCAAGGTAGAGACTGTTGGTTATGCAGGTATGTTTGTCCCATATAAACTTTTAACATTAGTTCCAGCATTTAAAATATAAGACTTTTCAGAAAAACCAGACTTTTCAGACTCTCTTAAAAAAAAAGATTCAGTTATCTGATAAAGTGTACCATATCTGTACAGCAACAGTGGGAGCTAAGGAGTTAGTGTGATCTTTCTTTGGAATCTGTGAGCTTTTCTGTCCACTGTTCCCTCTTGAATTCCCAAAAATTAGATGGAGTATCAGTTACATTTATCATTATATTTCTATTGCATATAGTAAAATTAAAAGGCTAGTGACATATTTCTTGAAATATTTCAAATCCATGATAAAATCCGAGACCTTCTCCTTTTCTGATAATTCTTTCGTCTTTCTTAACACTTCAATGTACTCCTACTGCTTCTTTTCCTTCTATCTCTACTACTTCCATTATAATTTTTTGCTACAACCATCTCTTATCTAGACTATTTTAATATAATAATTGTTTCCCCTGATCTCCCTCTAATCTGTTTTATAAATAGGAACAAATTGAAAATCTCATAATTTCCATATGCCAACCATTCCATCCTTCTTGCTAATTAAAAACCCTTGAGTGGCTTCCCAATGTTCTTGGCATATGGGAATCCTTAAAATGGCCTGTAAGACACGGCATGTAGTCCCTCACTATACAACTAGCTGCTGCCTCACAAAACCATCCCCTCCACTCTAATGAAAATTTAATTACTCCAATGCATCATGTATCCATCCACCAACAGGTCTATGTGCTTGCAGTTTACTTTACCTGGACCACTTTTCTTTCCCATTTTTGCCAATTAACTCTTAATCATCTTTCTGTTCTTGGCTGTAGGCTCATTTCCTTTGGAAATCAATCCATAGGTTTTGTTCCATCTTTATTTTGTTATATACTTTTATAAAATTGTTTCTCTACTTCACGGTAATTGTCTCAATTTTTTTTTTATTATATATTCATTAGTATGATTACATGATAATGTGTTTCTCCTACTACATGTAAGATGCCCAGGAGAGCAGGATAATACTTCTATCTCCACTTGCCCATGAGTAGAATCTCACTACTTAGCAAAGTCTAGCATTCAGTTCTTTACTAAATAAATGATGGATTTTATTCATAATGTAAAATGACTCCTTCCCCACCACCACCCACTTCCTTCTCTTGCTGACTTGTCTTGTAAGACGGTATATAATTCAAATAGCTGCTAGATACTTGGAAACATATACAAATACCACAAGCTTTTTCCTTCTCTAACAAATTACATCATGTTTATTCCAAGTTCAGAATATGAAGAACCATGATAGTCAGAATCCTAGATTGTTGAGTTTCCAGAATTTATTTCTTAATTACTTCCATACTTAATCCTTAATAACACTTGAACTAACTCCAATTTTTCAGTTACTTAGGAAAAACTATATTCTCCTAAAAAAAGCCAAATTCTTTGTTTTGCTGGTTCTTACCAACAAATAGATAAAAAATAGTGTGTGCATGAGCACACACATACACTGCATTTATTGAATGCCCCTTTCCAGCTTAATCACAGTAATGACTTGAGATATTTAAATTCGAAATAAAGTCCTAGCTAATTTTTTGTTCCCCTAAAAAAACAGCTATTTTTATTCTACTTACCATTACTTGCCAAAACCCGAAAATGATTTAGTTTTTTTAAAAAAATAACATTCAAATATAAATATCTCAATATAAAAGTTAACTAATTTGTTTTTTGAATAAATATAACGAAATAACCCAAGTACCTTTTTAAAGTCAGTTGAGTCTTCCTTGTCTAGCCTGCTACCATAAGGTTTTCTTTCTTCTAAGTAACTGTATGATCCAGAGCGACCCAGCAAGGAATCATACCGATCACTAGCTGATGTGGAAGTGGTTTCATATCTTCATAGATAAATTTAAATCAAAATCTTTATTATTAGGATTTCACAACTTATGTTAACATACATCCTAGTATATATTAACTTGATAGTTCAAAAGAGTAATAGTCTCCCTCATCTGTTACCTAATAAATATTTGTGACACATAATAAATGGAAAGTTATTGTTAATACTATTTACTTCCATTGATGAGGAAGAAATTCAAAATTTCCATCCTAAAAGTCAAACTTATTTCACATCACGATCAACTATTATAATTTTAAATTGCATTTTTTTTCACATTTTAACATTTTGAAATCTGAACATGGCTTCCAACTGATGGCATATTATAGTTTAATTGGTAGCATCTTTCCTTTTTTTAGTGGTAAATAACATAATGGTGTTTTACAATTAGTTACAGATTTGAATGAAATACAGTATATCCAAAATGATAATGGGTTTGTACTAAACAGGAAAATGTACCTTATTTGTAAATGAGAATTCTCTTATATCTGATTCTGGATTCAGGTTACCTTTTCTGATAGATGCCAACTGCCTCTCCATTTCAATTCAATAGAATCATCAGTATATAAAAATTTATTCTTAGTCTTACAAGGCTTCAGTTAACAATCATATGGGCAAGAGAGGCAGAATGGAGATTACAATCAAGGATATAGTAGAGGTTCTCAGAAAAGATGAACAATTTTGAGCTAGATGACACTTTCTGAAGTGTCTTCATTGGTTCATTCTTATCTAAAAAACACAGCTAAGGGAGAAGAATCTGAATACGTAAACAAATAAAATTCTAGTCCAGGGTGGGTTTCATCAGTCCCTGATGTTAACAGTGAGATAGTTAATGTTGAAGTAACTTAGTAATAAACATTGGAAAACTTAAGAAAAGTTAGCACTGTTGTAAGTATTTGGGAACAATTTTCTTAGTGACCTACTGTGACTACTAAAGCAGAAGTAAAGCCTTTATTTAACAAAGAAAGCTAATAACAATGATTAGGTAATCTAAATTTCTATAGATTTTTTTATTAGCCAAATAATTCTGTAAGTTTACAAAATGTACAAATATCTAGCAACATATTTTTAGGAAAGATAAAAAATGAGGAAAAAAATCAGTTAAAAAAAAAAAAGGAAAACATACCTTGAAATGGAATCCGTCTAGAAAGAAATGAAAAGAAAAACAGGCATACTAAATTTTTATGCTTTCATTAAGCTATTAACCTATGATTGATCAAGTAAATTTACTATAACATCAATAGAGTTTTCACACTATTAAACTAACTTAACTATTCACTGTATATGCTTTAACTTTAATGAAGTTGTTTTTAGAAGGAGGATCTAAAAGTCACTGTATATTTTTACATGTACAATATCATATAACTATATTTGGCAATTTATGGACATTTTTGTGACTTCCTACAAAAACCACATATATTATTTCTTAATGAGAAGAAAAAAATTGAGAAACAAACATATCCTCTACTTATAAACTCACTCAGGAGAAAGTAACACTTATACATCAAGAAATATCAAGTTCATTATGTAACATCTCAATGTAACCATTTTACTCATTTTTCTGTTTTTGATGAATATGAGAGGCAAATAAATGAATGCACAGGTATTTTATACATAACAGTATAAACATGTTTTGTTTAAAATTCATTTTCTGGGAATCTAGCTATATATCCCTTCAAGGTATAGAAATTAAGTAATAGGAAATTTAAGTTAATTTTCTCAAGCAAGTGGTATTCTACACTGAAGTTCCAGTAACTCTCCTTATCTAAATGGCAAAATGATTAATAGGGTAAAATAGTTTTATTTGGGGCCAAAGTAGTTTTTTTTGTGGTGGTGGTCAAATTTAGCTTTTTCTCTTTCTACTGAAATGCTCACTGAATCTCTTAATCTTCTGTAAAGTAACTATTCAAAAATGGTTTGTTAAATTGCTAAATTGAAATATTTATAATTTCACATTATATTTATCTTTGAATGCACTGTAAAATTACCTGGTTCCTTTACGACTATTTAAAGTCTACTCTGGAGGAAAAATGTTTTACTAAAGTCTGTGTAAATTTCTTTTGCAAAAAGATTTTGCCTTTGTTCTCTGTATTGTTTTTATTTCCTGTAATGTAGTATTTTATTGAAATATTCTTGGGTTTTATAATTCACCATTTTAAAGAATAAATTTCTATTTTCAAAATATGATTCAAATTCAGGAAAACATTCATGAACTAAAATGTATTCATATCAGATGAAAATATCACATCTCAATGTCCTGAGTATTAATAATAAAGTTTAAAAATGCTTTTATATAAAAAAAAAAAAAAGAAAATATCACATCTCACCTTACAGTTTGTACCTTTTCACTGATTTAAATTTTTTAAATAATAAAAACTCCAAGCAGTCACAGAAATAAATCATGGTGTTATCATCATTGATTATTTAAAAACTTTTAAAAACTGTTGTAAAAACCACATAATGTAAAATTTACTATCTAGACCATTTTTAAGTGTTCAGAGTTCAGTATTGTTAACTGTATTCACACTGTTGTGCAACAGGTCCTTAGAACTCTTTCATCTTGCAAAATCGAAACTATACACACTGAACAACTTCCTTCCTCCCCCCTACACTCAGCTGGGGCAACCACAATTCTACTTTCAGTTTCTATGAATTTCACTCCTTTGAATATGTGAAGAAGTGGAATCCTATAGTACTTGTCATTTTGTGACTGCCTTATTTTACTTAGCATAATGTCCTTGCTTCTTGTATTTTAAAATTGTTTTTCCAAAGTAAAAATATCCTTTTAATTTTTCTCATTATAGTACTATAAGCTCATGTAATCGTATCCAAAGTTCCTCTATAATTCTCCATCCCTTTACTCCCTAGATAAGTTATCTTATTTAGTCACATAATATCTACATGAATGCACAACATACCAATTTACACACATGTATTTTATTTAATCTATTCCATACCAATAGAAATTTAGGGTGTTTTCAATTTTTTGTTTTGCAAGCAATGCTGCTATGAACATTGTGTAGATTTATCTTTACATCCTTAACCTATATCTTTGGAAATAAATTTATAAAAGTGGAAGTGCTAAGCTAAAAGGCCTGGACATTTTCATAAGGCTTCTGATTTGGATTGTTAAATTGATCTCCAAAAAGGATTAACTTACTATAGTCCCAAAACTTTGTCAGAAAATGCCTATTTCAATATTTATCATGCCAAATATGAACATTAACTTTTGCCAATTTCACTTTATTAACTGTTATGTTTTTGGTTATTGAGTTTGAGTGCATTTTCAAGCTTACTGGCCACTTGTATTTCTTCTTTTGTAAAGTTTATAGATTTCATGTATTCTGCCCATTTTTAACTGAATCTCAAATATTAATCTTTCATATGTTATACAAGAGGGTTAAGATTATTTACTTTTAAACTACATAAACATGTGTCTCCTAACTTCAATTAGGGTGTCTTTACTGTCACATTCCAGCTTTATATGTTTTAATAATTGAATCTGTTAATCTTTGTTTATAGCTTCTTGCCTTGGTGTTATACTTGATTTAAATTTTGGATTTATTACTAATGTTCTTTGCATGCTAAATGAAATAGCTTAATAAAACCCATCCAGAAGCTTAAAAGCAAATCAAGGCCAAGTGCAGTGGCTCACGCCTATAATCTTATTAGCACTTTGAGAGGCTGAGGAAGGAGGATTGCTTCAGTCAGGAGTTCAAGACCAACCTGGGCAAGAGCAAGACCCTGTCTCTACTAAAAATAGAAAAAAAATTAGCGAGGCATGGTGTTATGTGTCTGTAGTCCCAGCTACTTGGGAGGCTGAGGCAGGAGTGTCGCTTCAGCCTAGAAGTTTGAGGTTGCTGTGAGCTAGGCTGACACCAGGGCACTCTAGCCCTGGCAACAAAGCAAGACTCTGTCTCAAAATAAAAAAAAGTAAAAAAAAATAACCAAAAAACCAGAAGTTTTATTTTTAGAAATACTGAATAATAACATCATAAAGTAATTCAAATTATATGATAAAATTTTATCTTAATTTTCTTTTAATTTATAGGCAATTTCATAGGCAATTCAGAATTTCATAGAGATTCAAAATTTCATTGCCTGAGTTTCATAGGCAATTCAGAATTTTCAAGAAATTTTCAGTGTCTTACAATTTACTTTTAAACAAAAAAACACATAAAAGAAAGTCATTTTTCAATGTGTTTTTTAACTTGAATTCTATAAACTGTATAGAAGTTTTGTTATCAAACCCATTTTACATTATTTCAGAAAATGCACATAAGAATTTTGCCACTCACACTTTTCACAGAAAACTACTAGTTTTCAAAATAGAGCAGCACACTTTTTGGTCATTTTTGTGGTCTACTGTATAAGATATTGTGGGTTAGCATCCTACCTCCATTCTTTCTTTTCCCCATGGTACAGCTGTCACTAGGTTTAGGTGAAATGGTATGTAACCCATGTTGGTAGCAAAATGACTGCAATAGCCTAGTAGTGGGTTCTGTCTGGCCTAAGCCAACTGCAGTCCCATTCCCATGAGGTAAATCAGCCTGAGGAGGAGGCTGACATAGAGGATTGTGTAATATAACCAGAGTACAATTAATTTTCTTTGTTTAATACAGTTTAAGTTTTCTGTTACTTATAACTGAAAGAATGCTAGCATAAAGCAAGATCTATACAATGTTCTATTTTAAAATGAACAAAAACTATTCAAATTGTTTGGAATGAAGAAAACTTTTCTTCTTAGAAACAATGTTCTACTTAACCTTAATGTTATTTCTTATATAATTTGAACAGTAAAACTTAAACATAACATATATTGTTTCAAAATGACAACTGTGGAAGCTAGAAAATATCCCTCCCACTCCAGCTTGGTTGGAGGTGGGGTCTGTGTGATAAGGCCATGAGAAATGTCAGCTGGAGAAGGTTTACTAATTTCCTCCCTCTTGTTTACCTGTCCACTGTCTTTCCTTGAACAATGGGAATTCATAGGGTCCTACTGGAAAAGGAAGATGATGGATGAGTTGATAGAACAAAGGGAAATAGGTAAATTGGGTAAGTGCTGACAACTGACAGGCAGTGTTTTAAGTAATAAAGCTTCCGCCCTGCAAATAATTTATCCTCAGAACTAATACAGACCTCTATCTGGCCATCTAAAGATAAAATAAAAGTAACTTTTGGGTCAAAACAGTCAAACTTGGCCTTAAAAGTAATGCTCATAGTCATCTAACACAGGTAACCACCTTCTGGTTACCTCATATTACTGTAAGTCACCTTGCTGATCAAAAGGAAATGTGACAGCTTTATGAAGAAGCCCCAATTCAAAATGAAGAAGGTAAAATTAACATGCTATTTCAGGATAGACAGTGCCGAGTTTAGCACTAACTCATGTACAATTCTATCCCTACGTGATTAAAGCTCTTTAAACTATTTTAGCTTTCTGCACAGCCGAATGACAGGATATGGGGGGGGGGTTAAAAAAAAAAAACAAGAGGGAGGAAACTTTTACATCTTGCTAGCTATGCAAGAGGTCCTTCATCAGTAGGCGGTGGTGGTGGTGGGGGGATGCCTTTTTCAGAAGATTTTTGGAAGGATTAGCTGTGATTATGAATATAAAAGTCCTTTGGAAACTCTACATTTTGTAAACATATGTAAAGAAAGCTTAAGAGGTCTATCTTCTATAGAATGTAACTTTTTCATATACAGAAATAAAAAATCTGAGCCTCCTACTTCTGGTTCCACTATTTCTGAGTACTCTTTAGATATTTTCCTTTGGTCCAGAATACTATTCCCTTTTTTGTTTTTTCTCTTCAATTCTGAAGGTTAAATTACATACAATAAATTACATCTACTCAGAGTGTGCAATTTGATGAATTCTGACAGTTGTGTATATCCATAAAACCACCACTACAATCAAGATTTGGAACACTTCCATCACCTCTAAAATATTCTTTGTGCCCCTTTCCAGTCCTTCCCAACCTGATCCCCAGCCACCACTGCTATTGTATCCCCAGAATATAGGTACAGTATGCAAAAACTGTTTCGTATGAATAAATAACATAATTAAACACAACTGAAAAATAATCCTTAAAATTATGATTATTTCACAACACAAAAAGTAATGCTATTTACCTGAGTTTCTTTCTTATTAGATCCCTCTTCTGTATCTGATTGTTGTTCTTGTTCATTTTCATCACTCTAAAAATAGATTGCCAATTTATTTTACGAAAGGAAAGAGATTTCAAACAATTGACATTTAAGAACATTAGGGCTTTTCCAATTTAGAATGACTCTTCAGAAAAATATACCATGAAATGGATCAAAGAAAACCTGATTTTTAAGTGGGAGTCTTTCTACACTATTTAGAGAATACCCATTTTGTTGGCACAATCTAAGTAGGTTAGTGTATGCTGTAAAGAAAGACCACCTATCTAACATGTAGGAAACACATTTGTATTGGGGATTAGGAAGCTAGAGGCTTAATGTGAGAGGAAGATATTCCACTTTATATTATAATGATATTGCACATACTTTACTAGTCAATAAAAGTACTTTTTAGGCTGGGCATGGTGGCTCACACCTGTAATCCTAGAACTCTGGGAGGCTGAGGCAGGCAGATTGTTTGAGCTCAGGAGTTTGAGACCAGCCTGAGAAACAGCGAGATCCCATCTCTACTAAAAATAGAAAGAAATTAATTGGCCAACTAAACATATATAGAAAAAATTAGCCAGGCATGGTGATGCATGCCTGTAGTCCCAGCTATTCGGGAGGCTGAGGCAGAAGAATTGCTTGAGCCCAGGAGTTTGAAGTTGCTGTGAGCTAGGCTGATGCCACAACACTCTAGCCCAGGCAGAGTGAGACTCTGTCTCAAAAAAAAAACACAAAAGTACTTTTTAGCCACTCAACTATAATGAGGCAGAAAAAATAATAAATTCATTATTTTAAGTAAGAAAAGCTAGATTCACTAAGCTTGGCAAGATTTCTGCAACAGCCCTACTATGTTTAGGTAGTTTCTTCATCTAGAAATTTCTTGGGAGGTTAGAGTACAGCAAATACAAAATCAAGGTCTCAGTAGGCTAAAAGTTCAGAATCCCAAACTATGGCAATATGCTACTAGAAGGCTTTGAAAATCTCAAAAAAAAAAAAAAAAAAGCCTTAATGGATTAAAGGGAAATTTGCATTCAAACTTATCTGGCTAAGATGCCCTATAAAAATACCACAGCCTTTAAACTAGATAAACCTAGTTTCATATTTAGTATAGTTATTTTCAGCTATGTGACTTAAGGCAAATTATTTAAAATTTTTTGAGTCAAAATTACCTTATCTATAAAACTTTAGAGAATTATTCTAAGGATTAGAGATAATTTTTGTGCAAGGTACCATTTTGGTAGTTAACAAAAATGATACATGAAGTTAATAAGTAAACAGGAGAAATCAATGCTGCTGCTGTATTATTTATTATTAATTGCATGTCATGAACTAATTGTTTTTATTCATTGCAGTACCATACACTGCCTTTGTTTCACTGAGCCTTGGTTCTTTTCATATACTGTTTGCTACAGGTCTGAACATGTGACTATGTAGGAACAGGGAAACCTGAGCTTTGATGGCTGATTAGAAATCTATTCAATGCTGGCTCAAATTAAAAACATGTGCATTGTCAGTACAGATCTGAGGAAGAATCTTTAAAATGATGGTCAAGTGCAAGGCTCCAGAAAGTGGTCTTTTAAAGGAAGAACTGGTCTAAATAAGATTCAGGAAAAACGAATACTAAATAATAATATTGCTTTGCCTATGAGATTCCTAACACATATGAGTTATAAAAAAGATAAGATGATTTTAAATAATAATAATAATAGGCCGGGCGCGGTGGCTCACGCCTGTAATCCTAGCTCTTGGGAGGCCGAGGCGGGCGGATTGCTCGAGGTCAGGAGTTCAAAACCAGCCTGAGCAAGAGCGAGACCCCGTCTCTACTATAAATAGAAAGAAATTAATTGGCCAACTGATATATATATAAAAAATTAGCCGGGCATGGTGGCGCATGCCTGTAGTCCCAGCTACTCGGGAGGCTGAGGCAGAAGGATTGCTCGAGCCCAGGAGTTTGAGGTTGCTGTGAGCTAGGCTGATGCCACGGCACTCACTCTAGCCTGGACAACAAAGCGAGACTCTGTCTCAAAAAAAAAAAAAAAATAATAATAATAACTAAATGTTAGGATGCTAAGACTGTGAGGTTTGATTTTACTATTAAAAAATGTTACTGCAAAATTCAAATCAACCAGACATTATGTACTTCCTGATGGAGGAACAAAATATCCTGCCAAAAGAATACTGAGGCCAGGCATGGTGGCTCATGCCTGTAATCCTACCATTTTGGGAGACTGAGGCAGGAAGAGTGCCTGAGGCTGGGAGTTTATGACCAGCCTGAGAGACATAGCAGACCCCATCTCCACACAAAAATAGAAAAATTGGGTGGGCGTGGTTACACATGCCTGTAGTCCCAGCTACTTGGGCTGAGGCTGGCAGATCACTTGAGCCCAGGAATTTGAGGCTGCTAATGCCACTGCACTTTAGCCCAGGTAACAGAGCAAGACTTTGTCTCAAAACAAAACGAAACAACCCCCCCCCAAAATAAAACCAGCCCTACAGAACCAGAATCTAACCAATCCTCTAGCTCTAACTACTGATTTATAGAAATATAAAAAACAGAGGAATGTGTTAAACTATACTTTAGGAATGTGATAACTCAATTCCTTCAAAAATAGTTTTAAGGAAAAAAAAATGAGAGGGAGGGAGAACCTTACTAATTTTAAAGGAGGCTTTAAAGAAATAATGAATCATAATGTATGTTCCCCAAATAAACAAGTAAACTATAAAGCTACAACCACAAACCACTTTTGGCATGTATCAATCAACTAGAAATTAAACCTGACTGAATAATTGACAGTAAAGATTTATTGTTAATTTATTTAACAATATATCTTTAATATATAGTTTTTAAAAATTTTTAATTTTTCATTATATTTTTACACAGGACACAAACAATTCTTGCTTCAGAAATATACAGTTATAATAATTTTTAAGAGGGAGTCCTTGTCTCTTAGAATACACACTAAAACATTTGTTGATAAAAATGTTATGCCTAGGATTTTCTTCTAAATAAATATGGGAGTTGGGGAAGTTGTGGGAATTTAGCTGAAACCAGGGATACTTGGGGTGGGGTTATTATACTATTCTGTTAATTCTGTACAGTATATGTTTGAACTTTTCTATATTAAACATTAAAATAAAAATAGGAATCTATTTTTCTATTTTCCTCATCTGTTCTTCCTTTATTTCTCCTTTCTTGTCATTTATGTATTATTTTATTTTCCTTCTCCCTTGAACTATCATTTTATAGCAACATGCACCCTTGATTCAAAGTCTAACATACATGAGTACTTTGTCCAAATCATGGACAATGTGAGGAGGATATTAAAACTCTATAATTTCTCTACCTTTTTCATACATATAAAAAAATAAAATAAAATAAAACTCTATAATTTCTTTTAATATTTTCCCATATTTTGTGCTAATGTTTTCATATATTTTAGCATTTTACATATTTTAAACTGCATATGACACAATGTTATTTGTGGTACATGCAATTAAATAGAATGAAAATAAAACACTGCAATTAAAAGATAAAATTGTTCAGAAAAAAGCTGACCTAAATATACTGTTTATGAGAAAAACACAGATAAGTTGAAAATAAAAGTAGAGAAAAGATATATTATATGAAGATTAATAATAAAAAAAAGCATTCCAAAAAACCAGACTTTAAAGGTAAAACATTATTAGAGATAAAAAGGAACATACAGTGAGGTAAGGGTCAGATTAACAGGAAGACAGATGATCCATGTTCTCTCAACAGAAGAATGGATACAAGTAGAGATTAAAAGAAATATTTTTACAGTAATCAAACTAAGTATACCGCTATATACTGCAACACAGCTATATCCCATAAACATAATATTGAGTTATGAAATCTACAGTTCTATTTATATGCTCTTCAGAAACAAGAACAGTTAACTATGGTGTTAGAAATCAGGTTGGTTTTGCAAATGAGAATGATAGGGATTAAGAGGGAGAATCTGAGAGCATCTACAGTGCTGTATTTTTGTTTATCATTCTGACTGGTGATTCCACAGATATGTTCCCATTGTGCTAATTCATTAAATGGTACATTCATGAATTATGTTTCTGCATGTCATACTTCAATAAAAGGTTTATTTTAAAAATTAGAAAAAAAACAAGAGGATCAAAAAAAAAGGGGGGCCAAATCATATTTGTTCTTCTATAGTTACATGTTGTATTGAAAGAGTATGAATTTTACATTAACAGTCATATCCTACAGTTCTTCTTTCTCTTATATGAATAGCAATGTCAGGTCCATAATTAGGAATCAGGGCAAAAATCTCATTTCTTATAGGATAATTGTAATTTGATAAGTAAAGGACTGCTTCTATCCAGCATCCTTTGAGTTAGAAATAATTCTGTTATGTAGACCCTATAATATTTGTGAACATGAAATTAAATGTAAAACATCTTTTGGAAATCTCTAAAATAAAGGAGTTTAGTAAAGGAGCAGTTTAGCTATTATAAAATAATCAATATATGTACTTTGAGCTGTGGCCATTATTATTTTATTTGGTCAGAATTCCTGCTTTTAAGTAGTACCAAAAATCTAAGTAGTTACCACCCTTACAAAGAATTTTTCTTATTTTAACAACTCAACTAGAAAACATAGTGATGATTTAAATAATATGTAATCTGAGGCATATAAGAAATTATTAGTATGTACTTTTGGGAACATTAAGCATACTATGAAGTAGTTATATTGTAATAGGTTCTCACATCTTGTGTCCAAAATGAAACTCCTGTAGATCTTCTTTTCTCTCTTGGTCGCCGCCGTTCTCTGATTGATTTAGGTTGTGATTTATCTTCTCCTTCTTTTTCCTCTTCTCTTTTTTCTCCCTCTATTAAGAAGTACAATGAAACACATGATAGCAACGTCTCTTGACAATATTTTACAAGTTAACTGCATAAACAATTCTAAGTCAAATTATTTTGTGAAACCTTCTAAATTTCTCTAATCAGAATTTTCCCCCCTTCTCAGTGTTCCTATACACCTGATTTAAACATGTATTTCTATTTCCCATTACATACATTCTTGAAGGTCATAAGAACTAATTATCTTCATAGTCCTAGTACCTAACATAAAAATTTTACTCAAAAGACACAAATATTTGATGAATTAATGAAATCCTATGAGAGGAATAAGGCTCCAGTTATTAATTTCCAATAAGGAAATAGTTGTTATAATCAAAGCGAACATTCTACAGAAGAAAACAGTTCTTAATGATGAAATGGCTAGTTAGGAATCATACAAATTTACCAGTTTCTGCTTCTACTACTGCCAGTCTTCACTTGGCAGTGACACAGTATTTATTTCATTTCTATTAGATAGTATTTAAGAGCAAATCCTTTTCTTTTGGAAAATATATTTATCTTTTATTAAAAACAAATCAACATAAAAATGTTATTTTTTTTTTTTTTTTGAGACAGAGTCTCACTTTGTTGTCCAGGCTAGAGTGAGTGCCGTGGCGTCAGAGCTCACAGCAACCTCAAACTCCTGGGCTCGAGTGATCCTTCTGCCTCAGCCCCCGGATAGCGGGACTACAGGCATGCGCCACCATGCCCTGCTAATTTTTAATATATCAGTTGGCAATTAATTTCTTTCTATTTATAGTAGAGACGGGTCTCGCTCTTGCTCAGGCTGGTTTTGAACTCCTGACCTTGAGCAATCCGCCCGCCTCGGCCTCCCAAGAGCTAGGATTACAGGCGTGAGCCACAGCGGCCAGCCCAAAAATGTTAGTTTTAAAGATTTGTTTTCCTCCTGGGACAGTTTAAAATGGCTTTAGGCTTACATACTAGAAGAATATTAGGGACTCTGAATACGCTAAAAATAAAGACACATATTGAACAAAAATGATTTTTTAAAAAAACTATTGTGTCCTTAGCAAAGAGAGCAAAAGATACCCCAAAATTATAATATTAAGAAAGATTTTTAAAGTTGTTTTTAGAATCAGTTTAGAGCAACAATCTCAAACTCCAATGCCTGTAGTAGCCATCCAGGTAATATAAATGGGTAAATGAACCAGGACAGGGGTATGGAGGCTGCTACTACTTCACTCTAGCCAATTGTGGATATGTAAGAATTCAGACCCAGTGTTGCTAAATCTTTCAAATTTTCAAGAAAAGCCAAAACTCCAAAGTTTTATTTGAATATCTCTAATTTTAAATGTTGGTTCAAAATTTTAACAAACATTATGAAGGCCTTACACATAGTGGTTTAAAGAATTAAAACATCTCAATGACCAATATTAAGAAAATCTAGCTGGAAATTGGGGAAAAGTTAATTTTCTGATGTTTATCCAATATTATTACTGATATGACCATGACTAATACTATGAGATTTAGCTTTTAAAATATGAAATGCCTATAATTAGAAATAATTTTATTTAGTACTCATATCTGATTTAAAGTAAGAATTAATTAGAATTTAAATAGAAAGTTTTTATCAAATAATAGGAATTCGTAATAGTGAGCATCAACGTGCCAATATACAGCTGGGGAAAAAGTCTATTTTTCTTTCTTTTTTATTTCAGAATATTACAGGGGTACAAATATTTTGGTAGAAATGTATTTTTTAAGAAATAAGCATAAAAATTTTGTGTCAGCAAGGACATTACATGTGTTAAGTGATTTTAGTTTAAAACAATTTCATACACACACATTTAAAAGGTATGATCTATATAGCAGGCAAGAAATAGATTAAAGCACTGGAAAAGTACTATAATAATAAACAGCTCCTAGGAATAGTTACCCACCAGTTCTTTTTTTTTTTTTTTTTGAGACAGAGTCTCGCTTTGTTGCCCAGGTATAGTGAGTGCCGCGGCGTCAGCCTAGCTCACAGCAACCTCAAACTCCTGGGTTCAAGTAATCCTCCTGTCTCAGCCTCTCCAGTAGCTGGGACTACAGGCACGCGCCACCATGCCCGGCTAATTTTTATATATATATATATTAGTTGGCCAATTAATTTCTTTCTATTTATAGTAGAGACGGGGTCTTGCTCTTGCTCAGGCTGGTTTCGAACTCCTGACCTTGAGCAATCCGCCTCCCAGAGTGCTAGGATTACACCCACCAGTTCTTCTACACTGACTTTTCTTTGTAGGTCAAAGATTTTTGTGAAGTATTAAGTTATAAAGATATTCATATCAACTCAGACCATATCATTTTCTATTTTTGTTTTCTACTTTTCTCATTCTTGATCATCATATTCTGTTTAGGATGAATGCGTCGCAGGTTAGGATGTTGTTCCTTTTCTGTTGAACTATTTATTTAGGAAAAACTAATTCAAAGGACTATTTGAAGGGAAAAAAGTGTTTTTAAAATTTGGTCTTCTTACCTCTTTCATTTTCTTTTGTTAATCCTCTGGAGTAAGCAGAAGTTACACCTACAAGACTATTTGGTCTGTTTAATTGACTTGAAGCATACAGTGAACTGCTCATAGTAGAAAGTGAAGAGGATGAAGTGGTTGAACTTGAAGTTGATACTGGCCTATAACGCTGATAAGTCTGTGAAATGTTAAAATTAAAACCCATTTGAAATAGTAAACACAATTAAAAACATATACAACACTTAAAAATTCATTTCAAAGGAAAAGTAATGTTCTAATCATTCCAAAGCAATTCTGATTTCCAGGTAAAATCCTTTTAAGTATTTTGTATTTGGTTTGTTGACATATAAATCTCTTATACATTGAGAATTGTAATAATTATTCATACCATTTGACCCAGCTGTGTTGTTGATATATTATTACCTCATCATATGTTCTCGAGTACTTTTGCTTATATTCATCTTCTCTAGATGTTTCTGACTCCTTCTTCTCTTCTTGCTTCTCTTTATCCTGCTTTTCTTTTTCTTCTTTCTCTTTTTCTTCATTTTCTTGTTCTCTGGTTCGAGTAGAACGACTTCTTCCTATTGTTTTTTCAGCTTCTTGAAGATCAGTCAATGTCACCCCCTGCACACCAAAAAAGATAAACTCAATTATGAAATGCATTAAAGCGTATTTCAAAGGAATATTTTAGAAATAGATATATTAAATATAAATATACTAAGGCTGAGGTAGGGGGATCACCTGAGGCCAGGAGTTCAAGATCGGCCTGGGAAACACAGCCAAGACCCTCTTTATTTTATTTATTTATTTTTTCGAGACATAGTCTCCCTCTGTCACCTGGGCTAAAGTACTATGGCATAAGCCTAGCTCACAGCAACCTTAAACTCCTATATTCAAGTGATTCTCCTGCCTCAGCCTCTGGATAGCTGAGATTACAGGTGTGCTACCACACCCAGATAATTTTCTATTTTTAGTAGAGACAGGGTCTCGCTCTTGCTCAGGCTGGTCTCAAACTTTTGACCTCAAGGGATCCTCCCACCTCAGCCTTCCAGAGTGCTAGCTAGGATTATAGGTGTGAGCCACCACGACCAGCCCAGACCGTCTCTTAAAAGAAAAAAATTAGGTGGGCATGGTGGTGTGTGCCTGTAGTCCTAGCAACTCGGGAGCCAGAGGCAGGAGGATCACTTGAGCCCAGGATTTCAAGGCTATAGTGAACTATGATTGCATCACTGCACTCCAGCTTGGGTGAAAGAGTGAAACTCCATCTCATTCAGTCTTTCATTCACTCACTCATTCACAAATAGATAAACAAATTCATTCACAAATAGATAAACAAATGAGAATGTATTAAAAGTCAAATATGCATGTTTGCAAACTGAAACAGAATTTTTGCTCAGCAAATTACATTCATTCTGTGAAAAATCACTATGAGCAAGCACAATGATAGGCATTGGGAAGATATAGATGTATATAAGAAATTATCTCTGTATTTATAAATGAATAAAATAGCAAAAGAAATGACAGAAATACTATATAAATATGAAGTTCAGAGAAGGGAGGAAGAACCAATACATTGTTTTGTTGTTGTTGTTTTTGAGACAGGGTCTTGCTCTGTCGCCCAGGCTAGAGAGCAGTGGCATCATCATAGCTCACTGTAACCTCAAACTCCTGGGCTCAAGCTATTCTTCTGCCTCCTGAGAAGTTGGGACTGCAGATGCCATCCACCAAGCCCAGATAATTTTTTTCTACTTTTGGTAGAGACTGGATATTGCTCTTCCTCGGGCTGGTCTCAAATTCTTGGTCTCAAGCAATCTACCTGCCTCAGGCTCCCAGAGTGCTAGGATTAGAGGCATGAGCCACTGTGACTGGTCTATGCTGTTTATACATTATACATATTTATATTTATATATGTATGTGTGTGTATATATACACACATGCATGATAACTGTTAAGGTTTAACATACATCTCAGTAAGGAAATAACTTTTTAAGGTAGACCTTGACACAGGTTAGATTTTAAGAAGTGAAAAGTACAAAGATAGAAAAAGTATGGTAAGACTCCAGCAAATAGTTCAGCTTGAAAGCTAAGTAATGATAAGGATCAAACAGCTGAATCTATACTGTTGAGCTCCTTAACTGTAGAAAAGGAAAAGACACAAAAGTACTTATCATATATATCATACTTAGAATGGCAAGGAGGAAGGAGATAATAACTAGCCTGTGTGATATTTTTTCTTACACTTGCACATTAACTGCTTGATATACCTAATACAAGACATCAATTCTCTCTCCCCTACTTCCAAATATTCACAGAACTCTTCAATAATTATTAGACACTACATATGATTCATTCATTCTAACACTTATCAAATACACTGTGTCAGCCACTGTATTAGGAAAAAGAATAAAAAAATCAATACTCAAAAAAAGTACTGTATTAGGAAAAAGGATAAAAAAATCAATACTTCAAAAAAAGTAAAGGCATATAGCTAATTAGATGAAATATAACAGTAATAGTGTAACCATAATCAAAAGGCTGTATAGGAGGATTACAAGAGCAACTATTTACCTTTTAAGGTTTACTCTGGCATCAATATTTATACAGTAAAGTGAAAAGTAGAAAAGTAATTCATTTGTGCATATTAAGTGTATATATATATATACATTTCATACACTATTTTCATAATTTTTATGTAATTTTTATACACATTAAATATACCTGGGTTGACCTTCTAGACTGTCTTGCTTGTCTAGATCTTGCTTTTCTTTGGGATTCAGATTCTTCATCCCTAACAGGAGTGAGGTATGATCTATAGTAATAAATAAAAATTGTTAGTTAAAGATATAATACCTGTGGATGTAAATATATATCAGTGTGTATGAACAAAGCATACAAGTTTAGCATTTCAGTGGGTTTAAAAAAAAAGGCTTCAGAAAATGGTCATACCCACTCTGAAATTCAATAATGCAATTTGATCATTTGTTTTTAGATTGGAACTAATTATATTTTCACATAACACAGTTTAAGTTCTTCCTAACTACATTTTTTATCATGTAATTTAATTTTTAAGAAGGAACATTTTTTTTTTTTTTTTTGAGACAGAGTCTCGCTTTGTTGCCCAGGCTAGAGTGAGTGCCGTGGCGTCAGCCTAGCTCACAGCAACCACAAACTCCTGGGCTCAAGCAATCCTTCTGCCTCAGCCTCCCAAGTAGCTGGGACTACAGGCATGCGCCACCATGCCCAGCTAATTTTTTGTATGTATATATATTAGCTGGCAAGTTAATTTCTTTCTATTTATAGTAGAGACGGGGTCTCGCTCTTGCTCAGGCTGGTTTCGAACTCCTGACCTCGAGCAATCCACCCGCCTAGGCCTCCCAGAGAGCTAGGATTACAGGCGTGAGCCACCGCGCCCGGCCAAGAAGGAACATTTTAAAAAGAAATTAAGAGAACTGAAGATTAAAACTTTTAGCCCTGCCTGGGGATGACTCATGCCTGTAATCCTAGCACTGTGGGTGGTCAAGACAGGTTAGGAGTTTGAGACCAGCCCAAGTAAGCAACACAGCGAGACCCCATCTCTACAAGAAATAGAAAATTTAGCCTGGCAGAGTGGCACAAGCCTGTAGTCCCAGCTACTTGGGAAGCTGAGGTAGGAGGATTGCTTGAGCCCACGAGTTTTAATTTGCAGTGAACTATGACAGTGCCACTGCACTCTAGTAGTTTGGGCAAGAGAGCAACACCCTGTCTTTAAAAAAAACCAAACAAACAAAAAAATTAGCTCTATTAAGAAAGGTAGAAACATTTCATTTAGCAAAAGCCCAACTAATCAAAATGGATAGGGAGTAAATTTTTTATTTGTTTTTAACTGAGGAAGCTCTCCTTCCTTCTCTAGCTCCTAAAACGTCTCAAAAAAAGTGATAATCTAACCTCTGCTTTGAAGCAACTCATTCAATATTAGTTCTCCAGTTTGTCCTAAACTTGAGTTAAAATTTACCTGTTAGTCCTATTCTTTTCGTGGGCAAAGTTCTATTTTTTGTTTTTTTTTAAGACCTAAAAAGAGGCTTTAAATTCTTCTTTATCTACAGTATTTTCAAATATTGGAAGACAGGTATCAAATTCCTTTCTAAATCTTTTATTCTCTAGCATACCCAGTCCTAATTTTTTGAATCATTCCTCTTAGTCCCTTTTTTGGTTCCCTGTAATACCATCTAAAGATGATACATGAAGTTATCTGACCACATACAGATTGTGTCTTCTTACAGTACAATGGCTGGGATGAATACAATTATCAGGCTATGAGATAATGAATAAGTAGTACATAGCACTCCCTGTATTCTTGTCAGTGTGCTTTTTATAAATGTGGTTTTTGGCAGACATACTCTTGTACATACTTTGAGTTCTCTAAATATTCAAGTGTTTTTATACATGAACAGTTTTTAAACTAGCATCTTACTTATTAATTGATTTTCTGATATAAAGTACAGGACGGACGCAGCATTTATCTTCACTAATTTCATCTTATAAATTTAAGCCTATGTTTCATCTTATCAAAGGATATGGGTAACTTCAAAAGCATGTAATCTACGTCAAAAGTTAAATAATATTACTTGGGAAGCTGAACTGCTAACACTTTATCTAATATATTACCATCTAGCTCATTTCTCAGAGAACACTTACAGAAGAAAGGTGCAGCTGACCACGGAACAACACCTGTTCAAACTGCAATGGGTCCACTTATATAAGGATGTTTTTCATTTAAAGTTACACTGAGTGTGTCTGCTTCCTCTGCCTCCCTTCTACTTCCTCCATCTCTTACACCTCTGACACCCCTGAGACACCAAGACCAACATCTCCTCTTCCTCCTTAGCCTACTCAACGTGAAGGTGAAGAGGATGAAAACCTTTATGATGATCCATCTCTACTTAATAAGAAATATATTTTTTCTTCTTTATGATTTTCTTAATATTTTCTTTGCTCTAGCTTACTTTATTGTAAGAATATAGTATACAGTGTATAATATAGATAACATTAAAATATGTGTCAATGGTTTGTTTATGTTATTCATAAAGACTGGTAATCCTTGCAGTTAACAATATATTAGTTAAGTTTTGGGGGATTCGAAAGTCATATGTGAATTTTTGACTGCATGGGGAGTTGGTATCCCAGCCCCTGTGTTGTTCATGGGTCAACCGTATGTCTATTTTCTATGTTGTTTATGTTTATTAAGTTTATTCTACCTGCCTCTCTCTCAAAACTATAAGCAATAGTCTAGTAAATGTTCTTTATTCAAATGCTACTTTTTAAAGAGACTCTTTTTTGTTAGCTTTAGTATTCTTCTCAATTTGTAATTTATTCTGTTCTTTAACCTCTCTGACAGTATTCATACAATTATAACAAACTTCTGAATTTATTGTGGGTTTTATGTCTTTTTCTCTTCTATATTTTCTTTTTTCTTTTTTTTCTTTTTTTTTTGAGACAGAGTCTCACTTTGTTGCCCAGGCTAGAGTGAGTGCCGTGGCATCAGCCTAGCTCACAGCAACCTCAAACTCCTGGGCTCAAGCGATCCTCCTGCCTCAGCCTCCCGAGTAGCTGGGACTACAGGCATTCGCCACCATGCCCGGCTGATTTTTATATATATATATATTAGTTGGCCAATTAATTTCTTTCTATTTTTATGGTAGAGACGGGGTCTCGCTCAGGCTGGTTTTGAACTCCTGACCTTGAGCAATCCGCCTGCCTCGGCCTCCCAGAGTGCTAGGATTACAGGCGTGAGCCACCGCTCCCGGCCTCTTCTATATTTTCGATGTGTCCTTTAAAGCTCTAAGTTTAGTGAGTACTGCGCATCTTCAAACTTCTTAGAACCATTTACTGCTTTTTTAGAATTATTTTTAGAGAATCCTCATTCCCTTTATATATACAAGAACATACTTCTTTTATTCTGCATTCTTAAATTTTTTGAAATCTGTCTCTCTAAAACTAGAATACATAGCATTATTCCTAGCAATCACCTCCTTAGATAATTAACTCTAAAATGGCAAAGTAACTTCTCACCCAAGAGCCTAGTTGCCTCAATTTCATCAATTAGTTCTTACTTATTGGTTAAAATTAATTTCAGAGGACTTGTTCTTCCTGTTGCTTCTACTATAATTATAGATGAAGGTAAGTCAAGAAATTCTCAAGAAATTACTTGAAATCCAGCAAACTTTTAGAAAAATGAAAATTCCAAAACTAATACATTTTGACTTAAGTTGTTTTCATGATCTAGTTTGAGAAAATGTCACCTGTTTCCTCGATCTGGTTAAGTAACTTATGGCACTATCATATAATGATATAACTTCTTTTTTTCTCTTATCTTTAGCCATGCTACTTATGTTTTCACCTTGATGTTGCTATTATAGAATATTGAAAGATTATGTCTTTTTGCTATTATCCTAACACATCTATCTCATTAACAAGGCATACCCCCTTCTAACTGAAACACTCATCAAAGAGTTCTATCTTGCCAAAGTTGTTTTCTACTAAAATATTAGTACTGATCTTAAGTTCATAACCTAAAATTTTTATTTTTGTAAAGTTAAATTCCTAATTTTTGTTGTTGTTGTTAATTTGTCCTCCTCAAAGTGGAGAGCACGGTAAAAAAGGCAGTAAGTAAAACATTTGGGTTATCAGCCTTTCCTTAGTTCGCCTGTTAGTTGAAATTCTGCTATATATAGTTTCATTTGTACTATGTACAGATCTCCAAATTAGTACAACTAGTATGATCTGCCCTTTCTTCCTTCAATGATGCTACACTAAGTTTGACACTTCTTTTTCCCATTATATACAACAATTGTAGTAAGTTTTCTACGACAAGCAATTTAAAAACAGAGAATAATCAATGATCTTGTTATTAAAATTTAAGAAACATTAATTCTGGGATATGATATGTTTATTACAGAAAAAGGTTATATAAATTTGGGAAATGCTACACATCCTAATCTTCCCTAGGAAAATCACAACAATACATTAAAGGGTCTGAGATGTGTTGAGGTAAGTAACCTATTTAAACTTTGTTTAACCCACTATTTCTCAAGATAATTTAAGTAAAGACTACCGCCTCCTCTGCCACACTTTTTTCATGGCATATCTAGTAAACATGAAAAAGTGCTCCTGGGAACTTCAGCCTGGAAAATGTGGACCAATGGCTATTTTCATTTATTTACTTAACTCTTATTTATGCACCTATTGGCTCTATGCAACTTACTACTTTTTGGACTTCTACCAGATGAGGAGAAGAAAAATTAAAAGGATATGAAACTCAAATGTGACTAATCTGGTTAAGCAAAGTTTATAGCAAGCCAGTTGGGTGCATATATCACTTCATTATTTCATGAGCTGCTCTGAAAGTTAACTATGAACACAGACTACTGAATTCTGGCTCTACTCCATATAGTCAACTTTTCACATTTAGTTTAGAACAGAGAAACCTGCATTGCCAATAACTCTTTTTCACTTCCATGGCAAATAGCAATAGCACTAATCGACCAACACATTCTCTTCAAATGATCCTGGATTCCTTTTCAATGTTTTCAAATTGCCATGAAAGTTAATAAATCTATTTATCATACTGGTTTAACATATGCAGGTTAGGCGGATAAAAGTTACTAGTAGAAAGACTTACAAAATATGTTCATTTTAATTTTCCATGATAAATGTCATATTTGCATAAAAATCTACCTTACCAATTTGTAATATCCAACACATTTTTCTTTATTTGATAGCCGCCATCTTATATTGAGTTCCCTTCTCCTCCCTTAGGTGCCTATATAGAACAGACCTCTAAGAATAGGATGTAGAGAAGAAAAATAATTTATATATCTTATGTGTTTTTCATTCCAAAGAGCTGATCAATAAAAAGATGGTGGGGAGCTGGGCATTGTGGCTCATGCCTGTAATCCCAGAACTTCAGGAGGCCAAGGTGGGAGGACTGCTTGAGCGCAGCAGTTTGAGACCAGCTTGGGCAATACAGTGAGACCCTGTCTCTGCAAAAAATAAAAAAAATTAGCAGGGCACCATGGCATGAACCTATAGTCCCAGATTCTCAGTAGCATCACTAGAACCCAGGAATTCAAGGTTACAGTGAGCTATGATGGCACCACTGCACTCCAGCCTGGGCAACAGAGTGAGACCTTGTCTCCAAAAAACAACAAAAAAGGTAGAATGTATCACCTAAACACCATTGTTGCCTTAATCACTGCTATGTCATACTGTCCTACTGCAACTCTTTCCTATAACACAGGGTATATAATTTTATGCCTTAGTCTTAGATTGCTTACTATTTTCTGGGCAACCCAAAGGTTGCTTTTTTAAAATTAAGAATTTTTTCCTGATAAATGCAATTATTCTACAATTTTTAAATTTTACTGACATTTATTGGCTTATATACATTTTTAAATTTTGTTTAGTGTATACAAATGTATGGGGTACAAGTACAATTTTGTTACATGCATAGTGGTCATATTAGGGCTGTTAGGGTATTAATCACCTAAATAATGTACATTATACCTATTAAATAATTTCTCATATATTTACTTATAATAGTTATTAATATATTTTGGTTAGTCAACCAAACTGTATCTTTAGAAAACTAAATACCAACCCTTGTTATTTCACACCCAGCCTTTTCCTTCCCAAGAGAAGATAAATGGGTAAATGTAAGCTGGCTTAGCCAAGGGAAAATGGTGGAGAGAGTAGTTATACTAAAGCAACAGTCCCATGTAAATATGAAGTACGATATTAATTTACAGTTTGAAAAAGGTATGGAGAATTGTAAGAATAATAATAACGAACAGCGTAAGAATTTGCTATTATGTTCCTTCTATTTAAAGTAAGCTTCTATTCCTTACTCTCAAGCAAAAATTAATTCACTGGAAATCTTAGGTAACAAAACCAGGAAATCCTGATATAATCCTGATCAACAGAAACAGGAAAATTCAAGAACACTGTGGAATTTAACAGTGTTCATGGCAGCTTTACACAATACCCAAAAATATATATTTAAAGATACTTAATGGTATAAATATGTTGACGTTTTTTCAGTCACAGTATATTCTTAAATCATCATATAAACATTTTTTAGGCAAATTTTCAACCATATACCTTTCAGAACCATTGATGAAATTTAATTAAAAGATGAACAGAAGAGGTGACAATGTACTCAAAATTGCAAACAATTATTTTACATAGAACAAAACACAAACATTAATATCATTGCAAACATCATTGAAACAAGGTGAGACAAACAAAATATCTACAATATAGGCAGAAAAAAATGTCAACAGACACATTTGTTTCTTATGCTATTAGAATCTGATCTGTCCTAACAATAGATCCAAATATTTAATTTTTAATTTTTACTGTTGTCTATTAAAATTAATTAGGACTACTTCTAAAAGTTGAAATTCAATTCTCTCCAACAAAATAAAAAAAATAAATCTTAGGTGAAGAATTATAATTTGTTCTGAAACAACTGATGATTTGGGGGAGACATTCACTAGACTTTAACTGTCACTGGAGACATTTTTTAGAGCATGGAATGCTAGCAATAGAAAGGATTCTAGAAGTTAAGAATTATGTAAATCAAACACCTCATTTTACAGAAAAAGAAATTCTGACTCAGAGAGAACTCTGATCTTAAAAATCAAGGTAGAGTAAGGAGAAGAAAACCAAGAATGTGTGACCCTTCTTCCTTTCAACATTCCCTCCCAACCCCACCACCAAAATAAGCAAAGCCCTCAAACTAATTTTGGTAAGTTTGATCAAATGATGGATACATAAGATCCTTTAATTTCTGTTGTCTATATGGTCTTATGGAAAGTACCACAAAAACTTAAAACTTACTTAAATTTATAAAAAAAGTAAAGGAAGAATAATTAAAATGTAATCTATACTGGTATTCAAATCATAAAATGGTAATCACTTGCAGTGGTGATATAGAACAAACACAAATATTATTGTGAGGCCATTACTACTATAGGCCAAAGCACTTAGGTACCAGAAAAAAGAGCTCTGTATATGAAACAGTATGTGACAGAAATAAAACAAAGTTAATCTGGGTGGAATTTTGGTAAGAAAAACATAGTTATATAGCTAATTTAATTTTGTAAGAATAAAATATAAAAATAAAGCTTACATTCAGTTTCCTAAGAATGTCTTCTTTCTTAAGAGGAAAAAACAAAATTCAAAGCTTAGGGACTATGCATGATATAGCAGAAAGAAATGGACTGATTCTCCTGCAATCTTGGGTCTAGCCTCAGCTCTCACCCTAACTAACCATATAAAAGTGAAACAGTCATATAGTATCTCTGGGTCTCAGTTTCCTTCTGTAAAGCAAGGATATCACAAAAGATAATTAGTAAACTCCTTTCCACATCTGTGATTCCATACATACCAACAGAGAGCAACAAGAAGATGTGAGCAATGCTTTTAAAAACATTTAAGCACACAAAATAAATTCATAGACTTTTTTAAAAATTGAGTGTTTTCTATGTACCAGAACTAAAACTAAGTGGGAATGTATTCAACATACTAAAATTGTTTGGCTTTTACATATGCACAGAAACCTTTCCTCACCAGGAGAATCTTAAAATGAAATTCTCAAATACAACAATAAAAACAGTTTAGTATCTATCTAATTTCTTAATGGGAGGAAAAAAATGAAAAGAATGATAAAACCTGTTTGTATCACGTTGCATCTCATTTTCAAATGTGTTTGTATATGTCTAGGTCTTCATCAAAAAAAGTTTTGAATTAAAACCACTAAAAAAACTAAAATGGCTAAGAAGACAACTGTGTAGCTTACTGCCTTTAAACAAAATCATCAATTCTGTCAGAGGTGGTCACCAAGCCTACATACTAATAATTGCTACTCACATTAATTTACATAGTTCTGAGCTCACACAGAGTATTTCATTTATTAGCCTACTGGAGAGATTGTCGACAACTTAACAAGATTTTTTAAAAAATAAAAAAAACAACTCTGATCACTGGGCAAGATATATCAGCAGTACTGTTAGGACCTTTACACACCTGCGTCTCTCCCTGACCTCTGATGTGGAGGAGACAGTGCCAGCAGTAGTTGTAGTCAGGGTTGTGGTAGAAGCTGCAGCATTTACAACAGTTGGAGCAACAGGAATGGTCACTGCCGTAGGAACACTGTCCTTTTCTTTTTCAGTACTATCCTCAGCCCACAAACGATTTGAGGTACTATAGCATCAGTAAGCAGCAACACAAAAAAGAGAAAAGGAAAACAGCTAAACAATGAAAGCACTTTCTAGCAGCTGAAAACATGTGACTACAGGGATGGATTTTTTTAAAACACAAGGTGAGATATCTCATCTCTGAACCAAAAAGCTCACCGAGAGCTGTCAAAGAGAGAAATTTACATTTTAAAAGCATTCTAATTCAAGGAAAGTTCATAATTCAGGAACTTAATTTTTTCCCCAGACATGCATAATTGCCTCATTTGGGAACCAATTTTTGTTTGTAAATAATTTTAACAAGGTAAATGAAAAAATCCAGAGCCCCATGATCTTCTAAACAAAAACGCATGCACATACATAAGCACATGATAGACCTGAACACAAAATGTATCTGTGACTTACCTGCTTTGTGTGCCTGCTGAGGAAGAACCCGTTGTAATCTTTGTAGTAGTGCTTGTGCTGGAAAGCAGGCTTTTCTGAAGCCCAGCTGCAGAGGTAACTGTTGGTGTTGATGTGGTGCTTGGAACACTAGAACTAATCAAATCATCTTGTCTTCTACCAAAGGAGCAACTAAACAAAAGAGTCATATCCATATAGGATGTGTTTGTATGTGTCTTCTATAGTTAATGTCTATACATTATACAAATTCACAAGGCTAGAAAAAAAAAATCTTAAAAAACTGTGTTCCTAAATACACCACCAGCTCCAGCACCAAGAGTTGCATCTACAACTTGCTAGAGTTTAAATGATTTCACTAATTTGGTAGTGTATCATTTTATTGCCTCCTCCTCCCAATCCCCTCAACAAGACTCAAAGATAATCTTATTTGGTATTTCACATTTCTGGAACTATTCCAGAACAAATAGTCATTCCACGTTGGGCCTGAAAAAAACACTTTGGTTTGGTTTTATCCAGGGAAAATAAGATGTTGATGTTGTTGAAGAAAATTGGTTTAGCAATGGGTCAGATCTCTAGGAGGGACCCATACCTATATTATACTTGTTCATATCTTATTCTTCTTTTTGGTTGCTTATAGTAGAGAAATAATTTATAGGTTTTTTTCCCTTTAATATGACAGTACCAACATTCTAATTGAAGGCATATCTTCAGCTCTGAGTTTTAGGACAAGCAAAAACTTTCCATATCACCCATGATGACTAGATCAATTAAGACACTGGCCTATTTAAGTTATTCTCGTCAATTATATAAGGAATTCCTTTTAAATATGCTGCAATCTAAAAGATATTTCATAACATTTCAAATTTAATTTAATATATAATAGAAAGGTATGAGTAAATTATCCCATATCTTAGTATACATTGTGTCTTTAAATCAAGTTTTAAACAACAAAAGATGTGATATTTAACAAAACATGTATTTACTTAAATGATGTTAAATTGAGGGCTCTAAACAAATTGCCTCATATTTTCATAAAAGAATACATAAAAGCCACTTAAGAATTATATTATTACCTTTTATGGTAAGCTGATCCTTCATTAATTGAGCTATTTTTTTTAAGATCATCTTCCCATTTTCTTCTTGTATAGGAACTACTTGCTCGCAAACTTGAAGAGTCTCTGTGAAAAGAACGTCCTTCAGATTCTGGTAGATAATTTTAAAATAGGGTTAAGAAAGCTATACACTAATAAGTATTAGTAGAAGTAGAAACTAGTAAAATCCCTTGGAAAAACACTTTGGAATAGTTACCAAGAAGTTAAAGTAACTCCAATTCTAAGACTCTATCCTTAAGGTATAATCCTAAATAAAGGGGGAAAATTAAGATATTTACAGAAATATAATTTACATCCACAAAATATTAGACAAATTAAATGTCCATAACATGGGCAAGGGAGATGGTTACTTTAACCTCAGCAGATCTACTCTGTGGTATATTATGTACTGATGAAAAACAATGCTCACTGAAAATATATACTAACATTTATACTGCTTATGAGATGTTAGGTGAAAAAAATCACGTACAATCGGATAACATGATTACAGCTATACTAAAAAAGTTCTCAAACTCTTTATGCTGAAAATTAGAAAGAAACAAACTAAAATGTTGACAATGATTAAGTAAGGGCTTTTCCTCTCTTCTTCCATTTTTTCTAAATGTTACAAATACTTAGAGAAATTGTACTGGTTTGTGACCTCATCTCTTACCACTTTCCCCTCACTCTGTTTCAGCCATAATGCATTCTTTGCTATTTTATGAACATACTAAGTCTGTACCTTCTCAGGATGATGTACTTGGTGTTCTATCAGGAACACCCTCCTTCTCTTCCCATAATACATATCCTCACATGATTACAATAATGCTCATGTATTAACTCTGATGCTAGATAATAAAAGATTTTATAGTGAATGAATAAAGCAAATCATAATGAATTCACCTATTTTCTTTCTCTTCAATGTCAGAGGTACTGGCTAGTCGTCTTGGTATTGTAGGTGCAACATAGGCAAGCCTAGTTCCTTTACCATCTTTCTCCTGCACAAGAGGAAAGAAAATGAGTGAAAATAAATCTGTGTGCTGATTACAGGGACTGCTAAAAGTATCAGAAAAAGGTTATTTGACAATATATTACACAGCCATCACAGTTTACTTTACAGTATTTTCCATAGTTCCTAGCTAAACTCTAAAATTAATGTCTATTAGCAGTCAGGTACTACACGTGCACTAAAGGACAACTTGCTCAAACTCATTTTCTTTTCTTTCTCCTTTAGTCTAGAATTAGATAATATTTTAACATAAGAAAGGAAAAAAATCTTCCACATTTTAATGACCTTTTCTAAAACTTCTATAATAGATAAGTAAGTAGTGTCATAAACTAAAATATCATTATTTATTCCAGAGAAATAAGGTCTCAAATATGGTTTACTGAGAAGTCTCGATCATTTATGTTATACAAGCTATTTACAACCTTGATAGTCTGTGTTCTAAAAGATATCAAAACATTCAAAACAAAAATTATTTAAATTATATTTATCCAAATATGGTTGAGAATGTGTAGCAACAATGACACTCTGACGTATTCCTGGTATGCTGCCATAAAATACCTGGAAAACAACTGTACAATAAACTTTTTTAAAAAGCAAAAATATCAAAGTTAATTAACGAGAAAGTTCATCTCTGAAGTTCTGATACAAGAAAACACTCTTAAATACAGAAAGAAAACTATATGGAAAAAAAAATAATACCAGAACCAAAAATGCAATAGAAATAATCTAACGATATAAAATAGCATTGAATGAACTATGGTACATCCTATTTGATACATTAATACTAACTTTCAAAATCCGGTTACTAAAACTACTTAAGTTACTTGTATCAGATGAAAAAGCTGGTAAAAAAATTGCGATATTAGATAAATGTAACTTATGAGTATACTCACATTTTAGAATAAACGTGTTCCTAAGTTTTTTAAACTTTAGAAAACTTACTGAATCATAATAAATAAAATAAGCCTGTTCCTTAATACATTCTACTGTACATTCTCAAGTAAAATAATAGATTCTTTTAATTGAATATAGTCCCTTAATTTATGTTTTGGGCAAATAAATCTGATCTTCCCAGTACTTATAATTAGATTACATTTGTATTATATAATTCATTAAGTTGGGTGAATTAAGTTGATACTTAGGTACAAGATACATAGGAGAAAATCCACTAGGATTTATTGTTCCTGAAAAAGAAATTATCAGTCTTTATAGAAACCAGATTGTGAAACAGATTACCTTTTCTTTATTATCCAAAGAGGAGGAAAGTCTGGGACTTGAAGCTGAACGTATCACACCTGCAGTGTCTTTTTCTTTTTGAGCCTCTTTAGATGCTGTGATTTCAGCAAGTGCGCCATAACTGCCAGTCTTTCTAAGTCCTAATCTCCAAGATGCAGGAGACTCATCTTTTCTCTCTTCTTCTTTGGGAGAAATTTTTGTAGTTGAGGTTGGAAACTTTTTATTTCATTTTTTAAGGAAAGGAAAAAAGAATTATTAAAACTAATCCAGTCCTTACATTAGAAACAATACGTTTACAGACAATATGTCTAAAATTATAGTTAATAGTCTCAGGAGGAAACACTTTTACTAGGTGGGTTAATGTCTTAGTCAAAAATGTAAAGATCTAAAAATGAAAAATGAATAGACTCCCTTTCCAGAGGTTAGACTTAAGAACACTACACACTACACACTGTATCACACAGAAAAATTATAATGCAAATACAGAAAACAAATGAGCACACCATAAGGACTTAAAACCATGCATCTTTGGAACCAATTTATATTAAACTTGTTATGTTGTAACCTAATATAAATTCTTGTAGAAATGCCTCACCATAGATTTTTCACCCTTATTGGGCACAAGAACAATGCCAGTTTTGCGCAAGCCCTGCCTCCATGATGCAGGGTCTACTGATTCCACCACAGGCATGATAGGAGCAATGAAATCATACTAAAGCCAATTAAAATAAGACAGGTAAAGAAATAAAGATTGAAAGCATGAAAACAGAGAAGGGAAGTCAAGAACAAAAATACTTTATTTTAAAAATAATTTTATAATAAATTGAAGCCCAATAATTGGGTAATGACCTAATATTTGAAAATCATTGGGAACAAGTTCTAGATTTAGCATGAGATAATTTGAAAAAAACTAATAAACTTCTAAAGCAGTTGAAGGCATAGAGAGTAAATAATACATCATGTGAATGAACAAACTATGGCACATGAATTTTGTTTTTATCCATTTATATACTCTAGTTAAAAATTTTAATCCAACAATCAATTAAAAAAACTGATATTTTATACCTATAATACTTAATTCAATAATATTTTTAATATCACAGCCTTAACTTTACTGTTTGATTTTTCCACCAAACATTAATTTAAACATTTCAACTAAAAACTAATTTTATGTACAAGTATTTACTCTATTTTTAGGGCTTTCCAAAAGCCCTAAAAATGCAACACCTGTTATCTTTAACTAGTTCACTTCATAAACTTCACTTGCAGAATTTAAATATTCAACCACAGTTAACTATAGATTGGTAAATATAGCAGTTAACCAATTACTCCAAGTATAGGGTATTAATGATTTTTTAAAAATCAGCCAGGTGCAGCGGCTTACAAACCTATAATCCTAGCACTTTGAGAGGCCAAGATGGGAGGATTGTTTGAGGCCAGGAGTTCATGATCAGCCTTGGCAATACAGCCAGACCCTTCTCTACAAAAATAAAGAAAATTAGCCAGGCAAGGTGGCACATGCCTGTAGTCCTAGCTGCTTGGAGGCTGAGCTAGGAGAATTGATTAGGCCCAGGAGTTTGAGGTTACAGTGAGCTATGATCATACCATTCTATAGCATGGGTAACAGAGCAAGACTCTGTCTCAAAATAAATAAATAAATAAATAAATAAATAAATAAATAAATAAATAAATAAATAAATAAATAAATAAAAATCCTTTCTTTCATATTTATTTATTGCCAAAGTTTGCTACAATTAGAAGGTTAATAGAGCTTGTTAAAGTCCCCATGATGCTAGCGGGCCATATCACAGACAAAACTGTCACAAGATACCTCTGGTATTTCCAGCAATTCCTATCAGTAGGGTCTAAGCATTCCTCAGTTCCCAGAGTGTATATCAAAGTACTCCAGGGAGCCATAACAAAATCACAGGGACTCCACAGTATATTTTAAAGTCTTCAGAGAAACAGGGTGACATCTCTTGGACACTGTACAAAAACTGCCATTTTAAACTTACTCGCACCTAACTACTCAATAAATGAGACAAATGGGTATTTCTTTTGGCCAAGTGGCACTGTGAGGAAAAAACTACTGAAACACTAGGGGCTCCAATGACCAACTAAGTTTGGAACCTCTGTAATATCCTATGCAATATGATAGGTTTTGAGACAAGTGCTTACTGACTTGTGAGTTTAAAGGTCTAGACCAGCGGTCCTCAAACTTTTTAAACAGGGGGCCAGTTCATTGTCCCTCAGATTGTTGGAAGGTCAGACTATAGTTTTTAAAAAACCATGAACAAATTCCTATGCACACTGCACATATCTTATTTTGAAGTAAAAAAACAAACAGGCAAAAACACCCACATGTGGCTTATGGACCATAGTCTGAGGACGCCTGGCTAGACACTAAATTTTAGGCTTGCAGATCATAGACAATACATAAATGAATGAGTATGGCTGTATTCCAAAAAAACCTTATAGACAATGAAATTTGAATTCATGTCAGATAATATTCTTGCTTGATTTTTTTCTTCCAATGATTTAAAAATGTTAAAAAATCATTCTTAGCTTGTGAACTATACAAAAACAGGTATGGGGCCAGGTGGCCAGGTTTGGCCCACCAGCTATAGTTTGCCAACCCCTGCCTTACTCCTCCATCCCTGAAAACTGGAAACAAATGTTTTTCCTCCATGATAAAATAGCCAGATAACCACAGTGAGCCATGACTCCACCACTGCACTTCAGCCTGGGCAACAGAGTGAAACCCTTTCTCAATAAAATAAAATAGCCAGATAGCCGATAACATTTACTGAAGCTAATATTTAACAAATGTTTACAAGTATCTGCCCTAAGTAAAGTGCTTCACAAGGGTTATTTTGTTTAAACTTTGCAACTACCCAACAAAATGCTACTACTTTGGTTATTTTAGAGTTGAGAAAAATGAGTCAGTAGAATCAACTTTGAAATGGGCGAAGTTTTTTGCCCTATTACGGCTGATATACCTCTACTCTGCCTAACATGAATCTGGATTCAAGTACTAGTTTATATGTTTAAAAGCAACTTTCATTTTTATTTGGTACATAAATAAATCAACCTTTCTGAAATAACCTGACACATTAACTGCCACACAAATTTTTTCCCCTGGAGCCATGGTGCTTTATTAAACAAAATGATACTTTCTAATTTGTTATTTTTTGTTGTTTTCTGTGCATGAGTTATATGCAACACAATCCATGTTTTTAGAATTAAACTGTCAATATTAATTGTAACAGTAAGAACATCAACAAGTTACGATTTTCATGAACCAAATGCACGGTTTTGCTTCACATGGCCCTGGGCTCAAAACTAGCCTGAGTGAAATGCAACTCATACAGCAGTCAATGTGTTAGCTGTACCTCTTCCCAGAAACTCTCTTTTGCTTTTATAACAGGAGGCTATCTTGACACTCTTACTTTTTTTGACCACCCCTTTTCTAGGTTTTTTTTCGGTTAACAACTTTCCTTGTCCTACTGCTGCAACACAAGTACTTCAAGAGTCTGCTCTCGTATCTCCTATCTCTTTCTACTTTCTTCTCCTGGAGGTTGGGAGGTAGGGTCTTCTCTATTTCCTCAAGATAAATATTAATTGTATTCAGCTTATTCTCAAATTTGTTATTCTCCAGTCTGACTCCTAAATTTCTAGTCCTTAATTTCTGTTTGTCTGTAGAACGGTTTACATATATAAGATTGTAACTGGAACTTGAAATTCAACATGTCTAAAATCAAACAACTTTACTTACAAATCACCTCTTCCTCAGTTCCCTATTTCTGTTATCTCTTCAATTCCTTATGTTTTAAACTTCACAATCATGTTAGACCTCTCTGTTCTCTTCCTTCTCATAAACTGTCAAGTCTCTAATTTTCCTCCTCTCTTCTTTATGAGCCCATGCCACTTCCCTAGTTTATATTCTTATCACAGTGAGCAATTTCAATGACTTTCTAATAAACTTTTTCACAATCAGCCTCTCATCTTCAAATATATCTGTACACTGGTGCCAGAATAATATTCTATAAAATATAACTCTCACACAGCATTGCTCAAACATTTTCCATGATTCTCTACTACCCACCAAATTAATTATAAATGTACTACACTGGAAGTGAAGACATTCCAAATTTGGCTCCACTTTTCCTGTTTTACTTTATATATATATATATATATACACACACACACACACATATATATACATATATATATATATACCTATAAATCAAATTGAACAATTCATTTTTCTTGCTAAATGCTCCATGTTACTTTCACTTGCTCACACTGTTTCTTTTCTCTCACTTTCAACAAATTATACAAATCCTCCTCCTCTCTCTGTTGAAGTACTACCTATTCAAATGTTCTGGTCCTATTACCTCAAATCAAATATAATTTGTACTTTTAAATCATAATGCTACATCTGTATACTTCTATTGGCATACTTCATAAACCCATAACACATAGCAGTCTTTGTTAGATTATTACAGTTATAAAATTGGATTCAATTAACCAGAACACTTAATTCCTCCAAAATTCTGAATTTTTACCACCCAGTCAAGAAAACAGGATTTATGTTTAATTGGAAAATATACCCACATAAGCAGAATAGGTAATCTGTCTTAGTGATCCCAACAATATTTATTTTGACTGGAGAGTTACATAAAAGCAAACTGATGGTTTATCAGATAAACTCTCCACAAATTATCTGCCTGATCTTATTGTTGCAGAAATAGTTCTTTAATTTCAGCTGAAGAGTTAAGAAATTAAGATCATTTGGGCTGGTTTTGAGCCCAGGGCTATGTGAAGCAAAACCCTGCAGCTGGTTCAGTTTTGGAATACATAAGGTAATTCCTTCATATAGTTTCTTGATATTCAAAGTATGTACCAATGAAACCCATACATTTCTTTCACTAAGAATTTCCATTACATTTCCATTTACATTATTGCTTTCCTTGGGAAGTGTTTTAGAGGAGAATTATTACTACCAGTAAGGATTTTTTTAAAAATTCTATAGTTTATGGTTTCAAAAAGGTCTACATTTCGACCACTTAAAACCAAGTACAAATATTAGCAAGACTGACAATACAATAGAAACACTGTGAGAATTTAAAATCAGTCCTTAAATCCATGCAAACCAAATAACGTCAGACAATCAACAAAACAAGTAGTCCAAAAGCAGAGACCCGATAACCAAACACAATGTGCAACCTTTGAGTCGTGATTTAAAAAACAGATAGCTAGAAAAGACATTACAAGAATGATAATTGGGAAAATCTGAGTATGTACATTAGTTAACATAAATAACAGTATTATGTTAAAGTTAAATTTCCTAAGTATGATTATTTTACTGTGGAAATGAAGGATAATGCCTTTGTACTTAGGAACTACATACTGACATATTTAGGGATGAGTGTTATGACTGCAATCAATTCTTTAAGGGTTTGGGGGGGGGAAGTGTGGCTGTGTACAGAGAGGAAAATGGTATGCTCATTAAAAGTAATGAGGAATGGTGAAGAGAAAGAACCCTTCAAAAAGAGACCAGTAGATCAAACCCCCTGCCCAACAAACCCTTAATCTTTAATTTGGGCTAAAAGAAAAACAGGTTCTAGAGAGGCAGGGAAAAAAAGGAAAGCCTTCAAAAAGATCAACATGCTAGTTGGAAAATTGCTTTGGTGGAGAGAAGAGGTGAGTGGGATGAAGAACAGATGGAGAACAGAGAAAGGAAGAGGAGGAAGAAACGAAACTAACATTTTGAAAGCACACTTAGTTACCAACCAGGCTCTCTCTCTCTCTCTCAACAAACCCTTACAATATTAATTTTCTTTGTTAATTCTGTTTTGTTTCATGACAGATAAGATAGTAAATAACTTGTTCAAGGTCAAGAGGTAGGGTCAGGAGTTGATCTCTGGTTGTCTGACCTCAGAGATCATGCTTTTACTGGCACACCATAGTTGCATGCCTAGTGCTTTGTATTATGAATTAGAAAATCTAAATTCTAGTTCTCACACTGACTTGTGGTAGTACTTTTGTGCCTTACTTACCCGTGTGTGAAATTATCAACATGCGCCTTTATTTAACAGAGATAAAAGATATAAAATCTGAGTTTCTCAAAATAAAAGTTCAACATAAATAAAAACTACCATAATCACTGGTTTTAATATTATAAAAATGTTTATCTGTCATTTATTTGTAACTACAAACTGTATGTAATGTTTGGTAACTATCAACCATATTATCAACTGCAATATCAATTGCAAAAAGGATACCTCCCCACCAAAAATACTTCAACATGGTTCAGAGGAAATTTCAGTCAAATTAAAAACAGAAAAATACATTTCTATCCTAAAATCTTAAAGATTTCTGGAATAAAATATAAAAATTCAGAATTGTTTCAAGAGTTAGTCCAAATAGTACTTAAATATATGTATTTTTAGCACACAAAATTTTGGCTTACCTTCTTAATAGGTGATGTAGGTGCTGCCTGACCTGATGACACAGTAGGTGTTGTAACAGCTACAGGAGCTGCTTGTGTACTACAAGTGTTGGCATTAGTTACAGATGCCATAGGTTTTGTCTTATCTAGTAAATGAACAAAAAATTAAAAGTCAAGATTCTATAGGAATTTGGTTGCACTGGTTAGGAAAATATCCATTTATACTCTATTTCTGTTTAAGATTTTGTAAATTTTAAGTCTTTCTACATTGCTATGTGTTTTCACAAGAGGATTTTTCAAGTTTCTAGAAACATTTCAATATGTATGCTGAAGGAAACAGTTAAGATAACATGAAAGACACACAACAAAGCTTCTGAAAATAACAAGCACAAATAGAACCTGATTTCTGTACTTTTATAATTAAGAAAATTTTAAAAATTTAATTAAGATTTAAAATTTGAATACTTGAGTGCAATGTAAGTAAAAAAAATGAATAAAGCTATCCAAATAAGCTATGCAATTTTCTAATGGATAAACAACTACTATTGCTGAACTAAAAAATGGACTGCTTCTCTTTATTCTGGGAAATTTAAAAGTGCTTTTGTCAATAATCAGCTTATATTCCTGTTAAATAATATGACTAAGTGGCCCAAAAAGCATGCCTTTGTACTCCTAAAAAGTATAAAGGTAAATGGGGACAATACTATCTTCCTGGAAAATAATCTACCTAACTGTAGAGAGAGTCATTTGACAAATATTTACTAAATGTCTCCATTCTTTAAGTACTGTCCTAGGTGTTAGGAATTTATCAGCCAGTGAAGACAAAAAACCTTCACTCCATGGAACTTATAGTAAGAAAAATAAATAAACAAAATAAGCCTCATATACCACCATCCAACTTATTAAGTAAATATTCTTAATACTGTTGAAGTTATTTTACCCATTTGATTACAATGAAGAATGAAATTTTCAAGTCCTAGGGAGAAAAATCCTAAAAAGCAAAAACATACTTCTCCCTTTTCATTCCTTCAACTATCTCTCAAATTTATAAATTGTCTGAAAGGCAATTAAAACTTTTGGTTGAGTTCTTATTTTTATCTGCTTTATAAGAAGAGAAGGAACAGTGAAGAAAATTTACAAAAAAAAAATTTGACAAAATAGTTATTTTATGTCAAATAGTTTCTCAAAGAAATAACCTTACAAAAAGTAGAAAAAAGAAATGGTTTAGAAATGGTCAAATCAGCCGGGCATGGTGGCTCAAGCCTATAATCCTAGCACTCTGGGAGGCCAAGGTGGGCGGATTGCTTGAGGTCAGGAGTTCGAAACCAGCCTGAGCGAGACCCCGTCTCTACTATAAATAGAAAGAAATTAATTGGCCAATTAATATATACAGAAAAAATTAGCCGGGCATGGTGGCACATGCCTGTAGTCCCAGCTACTCGGGAGGCTAAGACAGTAGGATTGCCTGAGCCCAGGAGTTTAAGGTTGCTGTGAGCTAGGCTGATGCCATGGCACTCACTCTAGCCTGGGCAACAAACCAAGACTCTGTCTCAAAAAAAAAAAAAAAAAAAAAAAAGAAAGAAAGAAAGAAAAAAGAAATGGTCAAATCCAGCTGTAACTCTCTCTATAGGGAAATGGGTTACTTTATCAAGTTTGCCAAATAAATTATGATAAAGTCTGATTACTATTAGAAGACTGAGAGAGAAGGAACCCACCACACAGCATTTACATGAGTTAATTCTTGAGACTCAAATTTTCCTGGCACAACTGACCACTAGCAACAGGAAGAACAAAATTATCATAGTACAATGCTTCAGAGGAGCATTTAAAGTTAACTCAGTGAGAAACTTAGCAGAGGGCAACTGGTATTAAATTCCAAACAGGGAACTAAAAATAATAGAATGCAATTTGATGGTAGTCAGTTATATTTAATAGAGTAGTAGAGTTTAAAAATTTAAAGAAGTATCCAGATCATATAGTCCAATTCTTCTCATTTTGTAATTAAGAAAATTCCAAGCAAAACACATTCAGGTATCATTAGTTAGTGGTAAACGGGACTAAAATTAAAGTCTTTTGTTTGTTGGAAATAGCTCCTTGGTGCTAACACTGAACAGTATACAAGGGCCAATTAAGAAAAAAGTTAACAAAAACATCGAAATGTATGAATGATCTGCCTGGACTTCTAGTTCTTGAATTCTACTAAATAAATAGAAAAAGACTTGACACATGAGTTAGGAGATCTGGGTGCTAGTCTTGGCTTTCTTGTGCATATAGTTTGATTTGTAAGGATATAGTTAACTATATAGACTGAGAGCCAACGTATGTCTCCCAGGGAAGAGATTAACTACCAAAAAAAAAAAAAAACCCAAAAAACCTTTAAATACTCGCAAAAGTATCTGGATCAATTTAAATATCAATACATCATTTTCTCTTTCAGTTTTTGTAAAATGCACAAGGTAAACATTACAATTTAACTGGAGTGTTTTCGATAAGCATGTATACTGACTATATTTAAATTAGCAGAATTTAACTTTATATAATTATAGGAAAGCTAATAGTTATTACAAAGTAACTGATTATTATAAAGTAGCCATTGAAAGCACTTATTATTATTCTAATTGTACAGATGAGAAATCTGAGATTAAATTACCCACACATACAATTTTATGCATGAACTAGTCTATGTTCTTAAACACTATGCATGCTGATTCTCACATAATTTGCTTTCATAATTAGAAATATTTTAAACTAGCATGTTATATAAATATAATGTTCAATGACTACCTATTGCTCTTGCATCCAATTTTATCCATATGATTCTCTTACGAAGGCAAAGGATATGTTGAGTCATAAGACCAACAATGTGACAGCAATGAAAAAAAATTTAAATTCCTAAGTGACTAGAGCCTAGCCATTTATGAGTTTCACAAACTCTTGTATACTACAGAAAAATTTACTTTTTGGATTAGTAAGTTAGCAGAAAATAAAGGAATCCAAAACACATCACCTGAGCAACAAAGCTAGCCCATTTATCTTATTTTGTAATGGGAAATAATTATCAGTATGTTCCTTGACTTGTGTTTATTTAGTAAATCTTAGCTTCTCATATTTTCTTAGAGGAAATATTTTGCTGAGTAAAAAGAAAATAACTTAAAGAGCTGCTGGTGTATCTACAGGAAACAGATTCCAAGAAATTCTAGGGCTCCATTTGTGTTTACCAATGACCACCAAACTGATCCTGATAATGATGACTTTTTTCACTGATCAAAAATATTAATGGAAGTAGAATATTTTCTTCTGATAAATTTATATGCTAAAATGCTGGGTTACAAAACTCAAAGATGGCAATATTAGTATTTCATAACATTCATAAGTTTTGAGTGATTAACTGATACACATTAAGAAAATAAATGTTATTTAATAAAAGCAATTTGGTAAACAAAATCTATAAAACTGTGCCCACGGGGAAAAAAACCAGATCCTTAAAAAAACCAGAAAAAAAAGAAACCAGATCCTTAACAGGGAAAAAAAAAAAGGAATGTCAGTTTTTACAGTGGCTTTGTAAAGCAATTTGGCATATATGAAAACTGAAAATGTGTGTACCCTGTGACTCAGTAATTCAATTTCTAGTCCATTAGAGAATCTCTTGCAAATAAATATATGAAGCATCATCACTGTGGCATTATCTAAAACAACAAAAAATTGGGAATAGGCACGTGTTCATCAGGAAATGGATATATTTAATAGAATGTTATATAATAGCTAAAAAGATAAATTATGTAAATAAATAAATTCATAGAAAAAGATTTATGGACAAATGTAAAAAATATTACTTTTGAGTGAAAAAAATAAAGATGTATAACAATTCCTAGAAAATAAAATTAAAAACACAAGGCAGTATTATAATTGCTATAGAGTACTCATGAAGGTACACATAAAAGTAAAAATGGACTACAAGGTTACTGAAAAAACTCATGATAGAGATTGCCTTTAGGAAGGAAGGAAAAGGAAGCACATTAGGGTGGGAGGTGGCTAAAGGAGACAACTGAAATGTTTTAATTTTTTTTTTTAAATTTGAAGCAAATATGACTAAATGTAAGTCTTAATAGTCGGGACATGAATGTTTATTATATTATACTTTTCTGTATCTTTAAAATTTCTCAAAACAAAGCAAATTCTCCCATACCCTCCCAGGAAAGAATCTTGATTCAGTCCCTACACTATTATTTCTTACGGAAAACGCAGGATGCTGCAAGGACCAGCTCCCTGGACTTTTGGGCCTCAGAAAGCAACAGTAACATTTCTGAATTGCTGAGAATCCATTCACAACCTATCTGTACCATCCTGAGGGAGTCTTAGAAGCCTCTGCACTTCTTCGAATATAGGTTAGCAAAACACAGAGATGAATAAGAGCCCACAGATAATTAGAGAATAATAAATTCACAACTGTAAATATGTTTCCAGTATTCACTGAAAGGTAATTATTAACTGGGCTGGCAGGTATCTGAACAAGTAGCAAACTGTCTGAAAAGTTTAAAAATTAAGCCTGATCTTGTCTTACTATACGCTCCAACAAAATTCAATGAAAATGTATTTATCCTTCAAATTTTACCTGTTTCAGCTTCTGATTCTGAATCATCTTCCTCATCTTCTTCACTAGAGCAGCTAGATTCATCTTTCTTTCCTTCTTCTTCTTCATCAACCTTTTCTTGTTCCAGAGATTCAATACGTGATGCATTTTTCTCCGGTTCAATAATCAATGTCTCTTTGCTGTAAAGGGAAAAGAGTCTTCAAATGATTATAAACACAAAAGGTAAAAATACATTAATTTTTCCTAGATGCACAATAATCATGCAAAAGGCCATTATGCCAACTCATTCATAATAATAACAAAACTTACTTTAATATTTTACTTACTTTTTAAAGGTCTTCTGTGACTGATTATTGTCCATATTTGCTGTTGATTCAATTAGTGGAGATTTTTTATCCCGTTTTTCACTATGGAGCTTTATACAGTTATGCAAAGAAAAATAAGAATACTATTAAAATAATATAAATAAAATATAGTTTAAAATAATAACAAAGTCATTTTTCAAACACAAAACAAAACAAAAAAATAAAAAGATTTAAGTTTTACCTGAAAAGGAAAGAGCCTGGGTAAAGAAGGAAAAGGACTAGATAATTAAAAAGCTCCATGCAGAACTAAATGGAGTTTTTTTAGATACTTTCAACTTTAGTTCACTGAAAAAAATCAATGTCCACTAACCAGTTAGGATAGCTGATGGTACTGTTTCCACTTATATAACTCCTTGCTTATCTAGCACCTGCTATTAGAAAGCTGAGATTTTAGTCTTCTCCTTTTAAGCAAAATTCTCTTATGAAATTACAGAACATGTTATTCTTGATTCCATATATATTATATAAGTGTTCATTTTGTGGGGAAGGAAATAGAATGGGGATATTTTACACAAAAGTCTATACAATATCACTACCCCTGTTTGAATGCTAGGAATAATTTAATACCAAGAAGTACAAAATATTATGAGAATACTTTTTTTAACTATCTGAAATTCAAAGCTATTCAGAGAATTCAGTAATATAGGCAATTTTTAGATAGCCATCAAGCATACCAGATTTTGTTTCTTTTGCAACTCCTCCAAATATCCTAAAACATCTTCATCTGCTACATCAAAGGCTGTTTGGCCCTGGGTAGGAAACAAGGAGGGTGGCGATGACAAAAAGTCAATAAATCATAAAATGTCTTCAGTAATTCAGTCTAATTTTACAGAAAGATGTTAGGTAACATTTCTTTACGGTAGTTACAAATGATATAATACACATAACTCTAAGGAGAAATCCATGTGAGAGAGAAGCTGAGAATACCCTCTCCCTTTTTTTGGTAACAGCTTTATTAAGATGTAACTCACATACCATACAATCACCCATTTAAAGGATATGATTCAATGGTTTTCAGTATTTCCACAGTTATACAACCATCACCATAATCAATTTTAGAATATGTCAATACCCCCAAAAGAAAGAACATACCCTTTTGCAGTCACTGCCCCCCACCTCACTGTCCGCATTCCCCTCAGCCCAAAGCAATTACTAATCTACTTCCTGTCTCTATGGATTTGCCGATGCTGGACATTTCATATAAACAGAATCACACACTAATGTGGCCCTTTGTGACCGACCTCTCTCTAAATGTTTTCAAGGTTCATCCATGCTGCATATGTATCACTACTTCATTCCTTTTTATTGATGATTAATACTCCATTGCATGATATACACATTTTGTAATCTAGCCATCATCTGGACATTTGCTTTTGCCTAAATGAATAACGCTGCTATGAGCATTCCTGCACAAGTTTTTGTACAGACATCTGTTTTCATTTTCTTGGATATATACCTAGGAGTGAAATCACTGGGTATTTTAGCCTTTGAGACCTTATTTCTTTTTGATAAATCCCTAAAACTTAATTAAATTCTTGGTAGAAGAGTAAAATAAAAATATATATATTTCTAAACTTCTTAATGTTCAGCTAACCACTGGTATAGCTTAGTCTTAAAAATTAGTACAGATGAATATCTGTCAATCTATTTTAATTCAATATGGAAAAGAAAATTTCAAAGAGCTGCTAACAAAACATAGTAAGAATTTTTCCTGTTGCCTGCCTTCATTCTGATAAGAACCCTCACTGATACAAGTTTCTAGGATGCCAAAAGTTTTATTATTTGGAATATATTCTCTCTCATATGTTGTCCAGTATATGAAGCTTTCTCAGAAAAAAACTCTGTATTCAACTAGAAAATATATCATTCTGAAAGGAAGTTCAAATTTCTTTCCTAACAGTATTCCTACATCCACAACAAAGTCAGAATGGATAGATAATAATGGCTTTGCAAACCACACTATTTTTTTCTATCCATGCCACTGACCAGGAAAAAATAAATCTCACTATTTTTTTCATTTTAAAACAAACAAAACTACAACTCTCAATTCTGCATCAATATCAGGGTGTTTACAGCTACTCAGAAAGGAGGCAATTTCTAAACACTATAAAACAAATGATAAGCTACCCAATATCTAAGCTAGTTTTCTCATTGTCTGTTAATAAAATGAAAAGGTATGATCCATGAAGTATTCTTAAAAATACATAAAATGCTGCTTGATAGGTAAGAGTATGTATATTTAAAATTTGCAAGATTCAAAAACACTTCTTATATTTGCCTTTTCTTGCTAGAAAGTCTTCAATCTATCCTTCCCCATCTAGTCCAAGATAAAAAGTGTTAGCTTTAATAAACTGTCCTCCCATTTCATCCTTGAGTATTAAAAGCCAAGAATTAAATTCCTGAAGAATAAACTGTTCTGAAATAATATAACTGGCTCACAATTTAAGGTGCCCTTTAGATTAGAAGTAATGTTAATTCCAGTTTTGCTATATTAAACTCTTCATATAATTAATTCTAAAATGTTACCAATGCTATACTTTTAATTTGTGTTCATGATGTTATTATGCAGAAATAACTCACTGACTACATTTTAAGTCTTATTTTAAGCATTTGTCAACCCTTCTCATAAATGAAATACACCTTGAACATTTTATTAATACAACTGTAATTAAATTTTTACAGTAGTTAAATGCAACAGGGTTATTTTAATAATTAATGAATTTTCCTTTTTAAGAGGTAGAAATTGGATCTCCTTACTAACCTTTCTTTTCACTCTCCCTTGATAAATGAGTCTACTTTGCAAACAGCGGCTGATAGAGAATAAAAACTAGAGTAAAGTGTGGGCTATAAACAGAAAAATTTCTGATTTCATAAAAGCATACCCATCAAATTAATCCAATAACTTAAACAGGTTCTTTAAACAAACTATAGGACAGTTATGCTAACAACTGTGAAGTTATGAACATTATTTGATTCTTAACTACCATTACTGTGTTTCACAAATGGAGTACAAACACAGCATGGTACATAGGCAGAATCACTCAAAGCAACCAGGAAACAACTGAGAACACTATGCCAAGGTATAAGAAACTAAGAACTCTATCAATCCAGAGAACTATCTGAAATGAAAAAAAATGACTGCTTAAAAAAAATCAGTTCGATACATCCATAAATTATCAGAGCCACAGACACACTAGAGACATTGTAAGTCTAACTTCATAGTCTTTTCATTCTTCTCTACTCACTCTAACTGAACTGCTTGTGCAGGTATGATCTCTTTTCATCTTCACAAAAACCAGTAAGTATTAATAGATGAGACAAGAGTTATTATGATTCTCATTGTACAGATGAGGAAATCCAAACTCTTAAATTCATGGTATTTGCCCAAAGTCATGAAGGTAATGAAGGAAAAGTAGAAGTAGAATCTAGATCTCTATTGCTCTAGTATGTCACTTTGTCTTATATAAATAAGAATAAGCTTGGACTGAATTAGGATAAAAATAAATCCTTATCCCCATTTATAGCAGGAATAGGTTTGTTATTCATTTAAATCTTTATAATGATAGGTATCAAGCTAAAAACTTATCTGGTAACTACTGTCTTAATGCATTAAAAGAAATAATAAACAGAAAGCATCCTAGTTAATATTTAAGAAGAAACAATATTCAAGTATATGCTAGTAAAACAATTCTTTTAATAAATTAAGGAAGCAAAATAAAAACCTTTATATTTAAAATCTGTATCACATAATGTATAATAATGAATTCAAATGACAGCAAATGTTTTACAGTTTGCAAATGAGTTAATGAGATCAAAAGTTCTAAATATTTATTTTTGGAACATTTTCTGAAACATTTTCAGATTTTCTATACAATTTGTTATTTATTTCCCAAAATCATGTTTGAATTCATCTAAACTCTGAAAGTACCTTGAGTATATTACTTTGATATCATTTTATAAAGAAATTTAGTAAAAATTTTCCATTTATAAAAGACTATATCGAATAACAAGATCAATTCATATAGGCAGGCTTACATAATTAAAACAATGTAATTTATTTTGATTGAACATTAAGTGTGACTTTTTTTAATGTAGCCAATAAAAACAGAGAAGACAGCCTAACTCACATATGCAAAGTTATAAAATTATTAAAATTTTTAAAATTAAGAGGAAAGTCTTTTAAGAATACCTTATATTACTAGAGAAGTCCTCAAAAAAAAAGAGAAAGGCTTATATTTGTGTATATTTATGGCATAAAGGCCTTTGGAATGCTATGTACATTATGTAGCTCCTCACTATTAAAAGATGTTTTTAAAATCTTGATTTTTTAAAAACCAATATTTTGAAAAAATTTAAAATTATATTTTTATAACGATAGTAGCTAGAAAAATAAAACATATGAAGAAACTAAAACTAAAAAAAGTTAGAGGAATTTAGCAGAATTTAAAAAACTCACCGAATTATGAAGGTTTTAGAAAATTTTAACTTCTCTGATCATGTCCCTGAATGTGTAAAACTCTTAACTTTACAGGATTGGTAAAAGGATAATATATATGAAAAAAAGTTGAAAACCATAAAATTATATGGGAAAATGAGGCACACTCACAATTCTTCTTCTTCTTTTTAAAATTTTTTTAAAGAGACAGGTTCTCACTCTGTTTTAAAGAGCCAGGCTAGAGTGTAGTGGTGTGATCAAGCCCACTGCAGCCTCAAACTGGGCTCAAGTAAACCTTCTGCACCTCAGCCTCCCAAGTAGCTGGGACTATAGGCACACACCACCACACTTGGCTAACTTTTCTTATTTTCTGTGGAGGCAGAGTCTGGCTATGTTGCCCAGGCTGATCTCAAACTCCAGGCCTCAAGCAATCCTCCCACCTCAGCCTCCCAAAGTGCTGGAATTACTGGCATGAGCCACTGGGCCTAGACATAATTCTTTTAAGATCACACAAAGATTTATTGCAATGATAGAATGAGGGAATAAGATATCAAATAAAATCTAGGGTGACAAAATGAGTTGCTATTATAGCAATAAGGAAACAAAAGGATATAAAGCAAGATAATTTTATCTGTACTCTTTCTCCTGGAGCATCATTATAATGAACTGTATGGCATAGGAATTAGATAATTGTAGGCCAGATGCAAATAAAATGATTTTTTCTCATATATACTATATATTGTGTTGTTTCACTAGAATATTAACTCAGCAGTGGAAACATAACATGTTTAAACTAAGAAGTGAAATAATTCTTTTGGAAAACCATTTCAACTAATAAGCTTCTCTCTTCTGGTACTTATCTGGAAGCCACTATTGCTAAATTAATCAATTATCAGCACTGCCCATATGAGTGGACAAGTGGCCTTTAGGGGGCATGGTTTGGAAGAGAGATAGGAATGAAGAGTTCAGAGGATACTGACTAAAAATTCAGACTGAAGACTTTTGTACTTATATATAAGTGTAAACCTATACCCACAGATGGATCATTCTTGAACATTTTCTTATCTTAACTTTCCTGAAGATTTTTACCACTTCCTGTAATATTCTTCCCTGCATATTTCTTATACTGATTTTTTTTTTTTTTTATTTTTTTGAGGCAAGGCCTCACTCTGTTGCCTGGGCTAGAGTGCAGTGGCATCATCATAGCTCACTGCAGCCTTAAACTCCTGGGCTCAAGAAATTCTCCTTCCTCAGCTTCTTGAGTTGCTGGGACTGTACGCACTCACCATCACGTTCAGCTAATTTTACTACTTTTTATAGAGACAGGGTCTCGCTATGTTGCCCAGGCTGGTCTCAAACTCCTGGCTTCAAGCAATCCTCCCACCTTGGCCTCCCAAAGTTCAAATATATTTTTAAATCAGTTAATGAAAATATATATCTAGTACCCTACTCCAGAAATAGCAATAGAATTCAAACAGCTTCTTTATCTCTTTGTATCAGCAACTAGGACATGAAATCTATACCACTTCCCTCAACCTGTCCAATGATTTACCCACAGGCAAATCTTGGGCATATGGTATATCGTATTTACTCTCTTCCTTTCATAGCTCCCTCCCCCATTAGAAATTGCAGTTACTGAAGCAATGAGCACTAGCATTCATATTAATGGATACAAGAGAATTAGATGGCCCTGTTTTGAAAGAAGATGAGATCATTTAATGAACTTCTGCTAAGTAATCTACTACAATATTCTGTGAAATGCAATACACAAGGAACATTCTATAGAAGTGAAGGGTAATTAAGCTCATTAAAGGAGATGTATTTTAGCTTTCCATGGTACTTATCATCTACAACATGGAGTGGGAAAGGACTTGAAAGAATGACGACACTGGTTACTGACTAATGTTATATGAAAGGGAGCAGAGGAGAAAAGTCTACCGTAACAAAAAATTTAATAACCTAAATCTTCTTATGATTTTGTGAAAAACCACTTGTATGGCATTTGCTTCCTCATTCTACCTAATTGTGATATTAAGGAAATCACTTACCTCACTAAACTGTTATCTGTAAAACTAGGAGACTAGATATTGCATCTCAATGATCTTATTTGGTGTAAACTTTTATGGTTTTTACTATCTTTACCTAGTGTAAGACCTCACTATCCATGTCACTTAAAAAACTACTATAAACAAGCTAATACAACTAACAGCTAAAGAGAATTGGAAACACTCCTCTACATGTGTTTTAACTCATAGTGATGACAGAAAACATTCACACAGAAATGCAAAATTTCTTTAATTTATGAATTCCAGGGAATATAATATTAATGAAGTACCCAAGTCTCCTCTATATGTACGGTAATATGATTACTGAAAAAGTAATATTGCTTTCTTTGCAGAACAAGGCCAGAACCAGCTCATATGGTAGCTGAAAAGACTCAAACCATTAATTAACCAATTAACAAAATGTTTTATAGAGTTGATAAAAACACAATTACATAATTTATATGCTTATAACCTTTTGAGATTAAAACTGTATTTCTAAAAATTAAAATATTTAAAATACATTTAAAAGGCCTACCACTTTGTTGACCATCTCCATATCACACAGATTGTCCACTAAAATTCGACATGCTTCTCCTTTACCCCAATGAGCTGCAGCATGAAGAGGTGTCCAGCCATCATAATCTTTAATATTAACATCATAGCCTGCCTGTATTAAAAGTCTAAAGAAATTATAGTGAATTAGATAATCATTAAAATCCAGAAATGAGCAAACACAATCAAGAGCTTTACATCATGCAATTTCACAAAAATTTGCGATATATTTCTTTTCAGAGTTCAAATCCCTCCCCTCAATGAATTAACCAGGACAACAGAAAGTAATTCTCAGAAAACACTAAAAAAAGAGAGAGGTTCTTGAGTTGATCCCATAATAATGCAGTTTTAATTAATTCCTAATGACTCAGTCTTACGGTAGGGTGTGACTTGATTACTCTTGTTAACAGGACTTATATGTAAAATTTTCACAGAAAAGCCCATAATTTTTCAATGTACAATCAAAAACTGATGGATCAGTTTGTACATAAAACTCATTTACTGACAAGACTATCCTCAGGTGTCCACATGACACGTCATCTCAGGTTAAGTGCCTTCTAAAAATATACTGGGATCAAACAAACTTATTTTGTAATGTTTCTACTGCCTTGCAGTTTAGGAACTGGTTTGTGAAAGCTTTCAGGAACCTGTGTTATGTACCACAGGAAAATTTCAAAGGAAAATGGCAATCTGTTAGGAAGAAAACAAAGCAAAACACATATTCCAAGGAATCAGAGTCGAGTCTACTTTTCTGTAGCAGTAGAAAGCAGATACTCTAATCATCAACAAGCTTGAAAACAGGAATACATTTTAATGCAATGCAAAGAGTTGCATAAATTATGTTAGTATGTCCTTTTAACTGAATATTGACATCAATCTTTATTTTATTTAGAAATTAAGCTCACAGAGAGCAAAGAAAGGGTCTATAAATTACACATAGCATAACCCCCCTACCATCACACATTTAGTGAATGAACACTATATGTAACCCGTGAAATCTAGTTGACCTTTACCTTACTTTCCAAGATGTTGAGCTTGAGAAGGGCTTTTTTTTTTTTTTTACCTACAGGAGGTGATAGTAACAGCTAATCCATAATCCCCCTTCATTTATTTATTTTTACAAACTAATCCTGTATTTCCTAAAAATATCTAAAGTAGCTATTTCCAATCCTGGTTTTGTAACAAAACCACATGAAGAGCTTGTTTTTTTTAAAAAAAGATTCCCCAGCACTACCCCAATACTACTGAATTGGCATATTGGGAATGGGCCTTGTCAATGTCTATATTTAATAAGTCCCTCATAAGATTCTCATATCACTGCCTGTCATCTATCTGCAGACCAACAATTTAAGAGTTATGATCTAATAAAGAAAATACTAACAGATACAAGTCCAAAGACTTAAGTTAAAGAAATATCGCTGCTCACATGTATCATCAGAAACTTTATTAATAGAGGCAGAAATAATACCAGAATATAAGATAACAAAAACATATCCCTATTAGCAAATACGAATTATAATGTTAAATATCCTGAGCAACATAAAACTGTAAGTACTCAGGAGTCTGTGTGGAGAGGAAAGAGAGATTTAGAAAGGCAGATACATTTTTCAACAAACATGATTCTCTGAATATACGAGGCCCCACAATGATACTTAAAAAGAAAAAATGCCTATGTAAAAGAAGCTACTCATGGAGGACCAAACTAAAACAAAAATCAACCCTCAGGGATAGCTTCTGTCATGGAAATGCAATGGGAGTACAAAACTGAAAGGTATCGAAATCAAATTGAAAGGAGTTGAGTGTTTAGGGGAGAGTGGAAGTAGAAAGAAGGTTACATTTAAAACGTATCTCTCTTCTATTTATTTTTCATTTCATATATATGTCTATTTATTTTCATAAGTAATATATTAACAAGTTTCAAAAATAAAAGGATATATAGGGTTTATAGGGAAGTCACTCTCCCACTGCTGACCTTTAGCCAACCATTAATATTATCATTTCCTCTCCCCCCAAATAATCATAGTATTAATTTTGATTGGATCCTTACAAAAGATTTCATGCATATATAAGCAAATATAATTTTTAAAAATAAATACAAATGATATATACTTCTATCCTTGATTTTGATATTTCATAGTATGTCTCAGTATTCTTTCCATAATAATATGTAAGGAGTTTCTCATTCTTGTTTTAATTGTGGCACAGTATTCCAGTGAAAGGACATATTATACTATTCTCCTATTACAAACAATGTTGTTAGCACATACTTCCTATGTAAGAACATCTGTATAAAAAATAATCCTAGAGGTAGAATTACTAAGCTAAATAATAACCACCACTTTGACAGAATTTGCTCAATTGTTATTTATTCCTCCACTAGTAATGTAAGAGTGTCTTTTCGCCACACCTTGTCAACATAGTGTATGCCAAAAATGTGGTTCTTTGCCAATATGATAGACAAAAAAAGATAACTTGTTAGTTTTTATTTGCACTTAATGAAGAACGAAGTTGAGCATTTATTTCATATGCTTCAAGAGCCTTAAGCTGAGTCAAAGGATCAAACAGACTTTGCCTATGATTTGAAGAGATGGTGAATAAAGGCATCTAGACAGAAACAAGAGTAGGCATTAAGACATCATGACACAACTTCAAGTATATATATGGATGGCATAATACACACTTGAAGAGCAACAGTGGCACTTTAACTTAACAGACAGTGGCCAGATGATGATGAATCTTATGTGCTAAGTTTAGGAGTTTAACATTTATCCTGATCCCCACTGAGAACCTATTGAAGGATTTTGAGAGCTTGGATAATATAATTACAAAGAACACTTGGAAGTCATCCAGAATACTATTTTATAATGTAATCCAGTACTCATATATATGTTTCTAGAAATAAGAGTTTTAAGAAGCAATTTTTACCCTTACTATATGCAATACTTTTTGATATTTTCTACTCTTTAAAAAAGGATGCTGCTGGCAACTCACCAAGTTTACTTCATGATTTGTTTGCAAAGTTTTGTAATAGAAACAGATGGAGGACAAGAAAACTAATTAAAAGGCAACACTACTGTACTATTCTTAGGAGAGGTTGAATAGAAACTGGAAAGAGGAGGAAACTTAGGAACAGGTGAACCTTTTGCTGTTTTTACTGATGAGAGGGAATAAGGAAGACAGACTGATATTAGAAGCCCAAGTAGATAAGAAGCAACATGGAGGGTTATAGCAGATGTTGCTGAGAGCCAGTCTTATTTCCTCCAAAATACAGATAACAAAAGTTATCCACTGAATAATTTTTTTTTAAATAATTGGCAACATTTTTGCATTGCATTAGTAAAAAAAAATTGTCGTGACATAAAGCAGCTTTTTTCCCAAGGAAATTTGCTGATAAACATAGAGCCCTACACAGTTAAAGTTGCTTATGGCTTGATATTTAATATGCTAATAGCACTCTCAGTTCTAGTGTTCACGTAGTAAAAAGAAAACTGTATTGTAGATAAATTAAATGTAAATAAATATTCAGCAGGATCAAGTTCTCAGAACTTGATGATACATTTATATGTTATTCTTAGCCTCAGTCAATCTGGGACCCTCAAAATGACTCTGTAGCAAATCGTTAGTCCAAAAGGTAAACATATAACAGTTGACAGATACTTAAATTCAATTTACTGGAAAATTACAACTGAGAAAAACAACAGTAGAATAATCAAAATTTGAGAGTAAAGAACTTTAGAACAAAAACGATCATATCCAAAGTAGTTTTCTCTTTTGTCCTGAAAACAAACATTAAAGAACTTTTATAAGTTGTTTCAAAATAATGTTTGCAGGCATTTTAAGAAAGGAAACAATGAAATAAAGAAAAAAAAGCAAAGTAGAAAAACAACTCTATAAAAAAGAATACCTACTTTAAAACTTCTGTATAGCCCTTAGCAGCTGCAACGTGAAGTGCTGTACCTCCAGATTTTGCGTGCCGGACATCACTGATATGACCACTATTTAGCCATTGCCGTGCATCTCTAAGCATTATCCGTTCTTCTTCCTTTCGAGCTGCTTCTATATCAACTCCTGATAAAATAAAAATAATTTTTTTTTATTTTTGCTTAATAAAAAGTGTCCTTTCTATACTGGAAAGTAAAATTATCTACAACATTTCAAGTTTAAATGAAAATTAAAAGTTAAATCAAATTTTTGAAAAAATGAGCTGATTATAACAAGTTGGTTAAATAAATAAATGTGGGAATATTAGACATTTTAGTAGCTCTCTCTACTAATTATTTGGTTTTTTCCCCACAATATTATTTTGATTTTCCTTTTACTTTCTGATTATTCCCTTTCTTTTTTAAAATTTGAATATTTCCCAAGGTAGCATCCTTTGCGCTAAAAACATGTTTTTTAACAATTACATGCAAATAAAGCTCAAATTTCTATCTACTGTTTTGACCAATTCTATAAATTCTGGTCTTGTAGGTACAAATGTTTATTGAACACTTCAACTTGGAGGCCTTGTTTTCACCTAAAATTTATCAGACCTTTAAAAAATTATTTCTCTACTAAACTCCCTTTCCTTTTCCAACATAGCACATTCTTCATACCATTAGGATTATTTTTATAATTTTAACAAGTTATATAGATTTATTTAAATGCACTTATTAAATATTGCTAGGCTGAGGTGATAAAAGTAGGAAGAATATAATAATGAACAGGACACTCTAGTTCCTACCTTCAAAGAGCTCGACATCTTGGAAAAAAATTAAAATAAAAAGATATTCCTGAAGTTTCTGAAGGATTTCATGTTGTCTTATGGCTTCAACTGCTGGCTATTTAATAAATAGCACATACCACAATGCATTTATGATCTATTTTACTCCAGAATACTATGAGCCTTTTAAAACTTTTATCCCCACTGTCTGGCAGAATACCTGACACAAAGTAAAGGATCAATAAATATTTACTAAATGAATGATGAATGAATAAATGAATCAAAAACAACACATATAACATACATGTGCGTGTATCTCCTTAGCTAAGATTTCTCCCATAATCCTTATATCCATGTGTCCGACTGTTTGGTCAGGAGTTTTTCATCCATCTAACCATCCTTCCATCTAATATGTATCGAGTGCTTACTATTTGTCAGGTACCGTGTTAGGTGCTATGGGTATAGAAGTAAACTTACTATATGGCATTAGATGATACATTTGTGAAGAAAAATAAAGCAGGGTAAAGGAACAGGGGGCAACGAAAAGGGGCTGTTATTTTATATAGGTTGGTTAAAAATAGTTTCTTTTCTTTTCTTTTCTTTAATAATAAGATAACATTATAGCAAGAAATAAAGTGAGTGACAGCCATACTATTGGGAGAACATTCTAGGCAGAGGGAAGTACTAGTAGGCTCTGAGATGAAAACCTACTTAGAATGTTCTTCTGTTTAGAAGACCAAAGTATCTAGAAAGTAGTGAGAACAATGGGCAAGGTGACATAATCTGATTTAATTTAAGAGCATCACTTAAACTAAAAAGTTAAGAGTAGAAATCAAGATATCATCATAGAGACTACTGCAATAATCCAGGCAAGAGATGATGACAACTCGAACAAGGATGGTAACAGTGAAGTTAGTAAAATGGTAGAATTCTGGATTCTTCAAGGCACACCAGCAGAAATTGTTATTATTTTGGATGTAGAAGAGAAAAAGAGAAGTGAAGGATCAATTCGGGGGGTTTTAGCCTCAACAATTACAAAAATTAAAATTTCAATTTCAGAAATGTGAAGTTTAAGATTCCTAATAAGACACTGAGTCAGAGATATCAAGTAATTAGTTAGATATCGGAGCCTGTAGAACAGAGACAACTAGAGAAATAATAATATGCCATGAGCATATCAAACTCAATCCTAAAATCTTAACCTAGTTTTCCCTGATCAATCTGCTAGCTGCTTGCCTCATATTTCCTATAGTAAGAAACACCACTTACCCAGCAACCTGAGAGTCAACTAAAATTCTCCCTTTATCTCACCCTCACCCTATCTGTGACAGTTAATTTTAGGTGTCAACTTGACTGGATTGAGGATGTCTAGATGGGCTGGTAAAGCACTGTTAGTAAAGCATTGGCTATGCTTGTGAGGGTGCTTCCACAGGAGACTGACATGGGAGTCAGTGGACTGAGAGAGGAAGACCTATTCTCAATGTGGGCAGGTACCATTCCATCTGGGCCCATAAGGAACAAATAAGCACAAGAAGAATTCCCTCTCTCTACTTTCTCCCTCCTTTCAGGAGCCGGAATCCTTTTCTCCTCCTGCCTTTAGGACTCTCGTACTTGCACCAGTGGCCTTCCAGGGGCTCTCAGGCTGTACTGTCAGTTTTCCAGGTTCTAAAGCTTTGGACTTAGACTGAGCCATAATACTGGCTTCTCTGATTTTCCAGCTTACAGTTAGCCTGCAGTGGGACTTCACTATGATTGTATGAGCCAATTCCCCCTAATAAATCACCTTCCATATATCCTCCTGGTTCTGTCTCTCTGTGGAACGCTGACCAAAACACTACCCTATTAGTTACTAGATTTTCAGCTGCTACCTCTAGACTGTCTTCTAGATGGTCCCTCTCACTATCTTAGTTCACACATCTTATGTCTCATGCTTTGTCTACTACTATCTCTGGCCCTTTAAATCATTCAGCCTCAGTTCTCCCTAATTTACTCTATTGCGGGACAAGAAAAAACAAAATAAGATCATCTCACTTCTCTACATAAAATTTATCAATGGCTGCTTACCTTCTATAAGACAAAGCTCAAGCTCTTTGGTGTAGTAGACATACCCTTTTATGACTTGGTCTCACTGCATTTTAAATTTCATCTCTAATCTTTTTTGTCTACCATCACCTAGTGTTCTAATCATCTAGATCTCCACACAGCTCCCCAAGTGCATCATGGTCTGTGCTGTTGTGCAAGCTATTATCCTCTACCTCGATTATATCCGTACTATGCCTTCTTACTCAGCACATTACCAGTTTTTTCAAGATGACTAAATGGTTGAATATGCAATTGAAGCTCAACTTCTAAAGTAGATAATTCAGAAATATTTTTAAAGCCCCTAGATTTACACAAGTACAGGAAACGTCATCTTCAAACTAGAGATTGTAGTATCTCATCACTACATTTTAAAGAAACTTGCAACAAGATTTTCCAAATAGATTTTACGAAAATAACAAATTATATGCATTATATAAATATATATAATGAATACAACCTATTATAACTTTTGTAAAAATAAAATGCCACCAGTTCTATAGTAAAGCACTTTTGCATGCCAAAAATTTTCCATCAAAAGATAACCAGGGCCAGGCGCTGGGACTCACATGTTTAATCCTAGCACTTCGGGAGTCTGAGGCAAGAGGATTGCTTGACCCTAGGAGTTTAAGAACAGCCTGGGCAACAGAGTGAGACCTGGTCTCTGTGAAAAATAAGAAAATTAGCTGGTGTGTGCCTGTAGTCCTAGCTAGTTGCGGGGCTGAGGCAGGAGGATCACTTGGACCCAGGAGTTTGAGGTCATAGTGAATGTGTCAATGCACTCCAGTTTGGGTGACATAGTGAGACCCTATCTCAAAAACAAACAAAAACAAAAAACAAAGATAATCAACCTACTTTAAGACATACCTTCTAATGTTATTTATAAAAAATTACAAAGAAATAATAATACATTAGGAATAATCTTTTTACTGAGTGATTTATCTTAGATTTTTTCTTATGCTTTATTCTTTTACTATGTCTTTTAAAACATGTACCTTTTTATTATCTTTATCCTTACTCTCTTCGCCATCTTAAACATTCTGACTTTTATTGTCTTTTACTATTCTAAGCTTCCTCTGACTTTGAAATAAAAAAATACCGATTTCTTCTGTACTTATATAATTTCATGCTATCGTTACCTAATTACAAAGCAATTACCCTCTTCAGCTTCATATTGTGCTCATATCTGATTTATATATAAAAACAAAAGGTCCCAAGTTTAAATGTTAAAGTATATATGATGGGAAAGTTCTTATTCGAAGAAAATTAAAATTAGAAAAGAAAAACTCTTCTTAAAATGTTTTTTTTTTTTTTTAAATACAACTCATTAGGTTATAAAAGCCCTACTCAGTTCATCAAAAAAAATTTTTAGAAGACAATCCATTGTACTATATACTTGGAAACTTGTTTTCTAATTTCAGTGCTTCAACTAACTAGCTAGTGACTTTGAGAAAGCCATAGCTTCTTTGTATATTAGTGTGATAGGTTAAGAACACAGATACTAAACCTAGATTTACTAGGTTGGAATCCCTGATTTACCGCTTACTAGCTGTACAACCTTGGTCAAGACACTTAATCTGTGCTATGTTTCAGTTTATTCTTTTTTAAGGTGAGAGTAATGATAATACCTACCCCATAGGGTTGTTCTGAAAATTAAATTAATATATGAAAAGCATTTAGATCAGTAGTAAGCACTAAGGTGCTAACTAACACAACCAGTTCTAAAAGTCTGTGATTCTGTTTCTATTTTCCTGCTTCATGGTCTAAGAAAATCTTAGAATACATTTAATGGGTTCTTAAGCCACCCACTATAACTGCAAGGTTTTTAAACAATGAAAACAACAGATAATTAGATATGATATAATAAAGTGATTAGACTAACATTTGTCACTATGATTTAAAAACAGTTGAATATTAGATTGAAATGCAGCCAAATCTCTTAGGTAAGAAAAAATAAAATTAGATTGGAATTTGGTCAGCAAACAGCTTCAAAAATTGATTTGTGTCCCTAAATAAAATCATATGAAAATGTAAATCAGAAATATTTTTAGCTACTGTTCAATCATTACTACTTTCAAAGGAAAATTACTTAAGCATAACTAGTTACTGATCAAATATACTAGAATAAGAAATAAAAGCCAAAAAAATGTTTAAAGAGTTAAAAAATATTAATAACTCTCATACCAAGATAATTTGAGAAAATTTATCATTACTAGATATACATATTTGGGGTGCTTTTTTATGATTATTAAAATCTTTTAGACATGCCCCTATATTTTTATTTCTTTGGAATTAAGTTATGCTATATAAATGTATACATTCCCATTATATGTATAAAATGAACATTATGAAGTATTTTCTAGGAGACTTTTTAAAAACTACAGTATAGTTCAGTGGTACAGTGTATGGGCTCAAGATAACTGTCACACGGTTTAGGACAGAACTACAAAACACACCTACCTGTATGACCTTTGGCAAATCACTAAGCCTCTATTTTCTCATCTGTCAAATGGGAGTAATAGTAGTATAAACCTCATAGAATTGCTGTGAGGATGAAATGAAAAAATGCATGTGAAGCCCTTTGCTCAATGCCTTGTGTATAATAAGCTACTATCATTACTACTATTATTAGTGTTAGGTCTTCAATTTTCATTTCCAAGGCCATCTCATCTACTAGTCCCCAGAATTTCCCCTCATTACTGTTCTCCTAGATTTACATTTCACATCTTGACATCACTAAAGTGATGTCACAACAGTGCATCAAACACTGCACTGTCAGCTAGATGTCCTTTAGCTACCACAAAATCAGTATGTACTCATGTATTCCCTAAATCTGTTTCTATCTAGTTCTACATTTTCCCATATGAACTCATCTAAATCATCACTTCTTCAAATGGAAACTTTGGTAAGTTTCAATTCCTCCTTCATCTCCACATTCAATTCTCCAACAAACTATTTCAATTTTACCTCGACATTTTTTCAAGACAGCCCTGTTCTTCTTCATCTCAAATGTAATAGGTTTTGGCTCTTATCTTTCACCTGGACTAAATTAAGAGTCTTCATCAAGGAATCCATGCCACCATGTATTTTAGATTCTATCATCCTCCAGATTGCCACCAGCTTTGTTACTAAAAGCCAAATTCAATCAGATTAATTTCCTGCTTGGGGATCTTTGTTGCATCTATCCAGTGCCTACAAAATACATGTTCTTCACCAGGGGTTCCCAACCATTTTGGCACCAGGGACCATTTTTATGGAAGACAATTTTTCCAAGGACTGGGGAAGGGAAGGATGGTTTTGAGATGATTCCAGCACATTACATTTATTGTGCACTTTATTTCTATTATTATTACATTGTAATATATAATGAAATATTAGTAATTATACAACTCACCATAGGTTGGGCACCCCTCATAGCCCATCTACTGAGGTCTCATCTCCTACTAATCCCATCCTGATTTTGTATCTCCATTTCAGTCCTCACGAATTCTCTGCATATAAGTCTCCAACTCCTTTTCTTCACATATGTTGATAACTCTCTCCTTTGCCAAACAAACTCCCTCTAAATGTCATCACACTTGAAACCTTTCCTGACTACTGCAAGCAGTTCATCATAGCTTTTTCTGTTTTCCCACAACATTCTGCTCCTATAAATTTTAGCATATAGCCCACTGTATTGTGCAGCTCACATTATATATTTGCCACTACTGCTAGACTGTAAAATCCATAAGAACAAAGATTGTGTTATTCTTTTATTGTTGTTGTTAATAGCCAGCACTCATGACATTTGCTGGCACATTAATCAACACTGAACAAATCATTATAATTAAAATCAGCCCTATTAACAGTTGTGCTAACAATTTCCTTTATATACAAGGAGACCCAATGGCAGTAAGTTTTCAGTACAACTCCATGCCTTTTCTAGTTCATAATAATTGCAAACTAATATCAGACAAATAAATAGTAGTACAAAAAGATTTATGGTAAGGAATTAGCATTGTGTGACAGGAAACTGTTGGCTATCTATCTGGATAGTCATCAGGGCAAAATGGGCAAATAAGTTAAAAAAGAAATCCCTCTTCTTCCTAGGTTGTGAGGCTTTGTATCTATTCTTTAGTTTCCTCAACTCTTGAAGATTCATGACTTTGAAAGGCCTGTCTAGAACATGGCTGTTAAAGCTCTTCTGTATACTTATCCAGGCTCCAATTTATACTACTTTCTAATGTATACCCAGTTTCTTCTGGGCTCTAGGTACCTCTAATCACTTTTTTAATGCCCCAATTTTACTTTAGGTATTTAAATATTTTCTCAGTTTTAGTGCTTAAGATAATTAGCTTCTATGCTTTCTAATCCTTAGCTTCTATTTTCTGGCAAACCATACATCAGCAGAAATTAATCCTCTAAATTAAGTTATGAGGCTAACTATACTTCAGCAGGAATCAATCCTCTATATGAGCTAGATACTTCATACCTTTCCTCTATCATTTAACCTTAGTAAAACACAGCTCTGATAATTACCTGTTTGATCACCACCTAAACATAATGGAATATAACAGAAATCACACATAGTAATTTATATATATATATACATTAACTTTAATAGTAGTAAAATACACCTAACATAAAATTTACCATCTTGACCATGTTTAGGTGTCCATTTCAGTAGTGTTAAGTCCATTCATATTATTATGCAAACAAGCTCCATAACTCTTTTCATCTTGTAAAACCCATTAAGCTGCTGCTGCTGTTGCTGCTGTTGCTGCTGCTGCTGCTGCTGCTGCTGCTGCTGCTGCTGCTGCTGCTGCTGCTGCTACTACTACTACTACTACTATGCATTCTCCCTTCCTCCCAGCCCCTGACAACCATCATTCTTGTTTCTCTATGAATTTGACTATTCTAGGTATCTCATATAGGTGGAATCATATAGCATTTGTCTTTTTGTCACTAGCTTAAGTTACTTAGTATAATGTTCAAGTTTCAACCATGTTGTAGCATATGTCAGATTTGATTCTTTAAGGCTTAAAAATATTCTACTGTTATGTATATACCACATTTTGTTTATCCATTCATCCATCAATGAATACTTGGTTTGCTTTCCCCTTTGGCTCTTTGTGAATAATGCTGTTACAAACATGGATATACAAAAACCTCTGAGAACTCGCTTTCCATTCTTTTGGGTATATTTCCAGAAGAGGAGTTGCTGCATCATATGTGTATATGTATGTGCTTTAAGATGTAATTCACAAACCATTCAAAGTGTACAATTCAATGGTTTTTAGTAAATTTGCAGAGTTGTGTAAACCTCATCACAATTGATTTTAGAATATTCATCACACCTAAAAGAAACTCTGTACCTATAAGCAATCACTCCCCATTTATAAATTAAAATCTCCCAAATTTGTATCTCTATCTTGTAACTCTCTCCAGACTCACATATTCAACAGCTGAGATATCTAATAGGCAAAAGAAACTTAACATGTCTGAAAATGAACTCCTGATCTTTCCCTATAAAACCTACTCTTTTCACAATCTTAGCAGCTCTCATAGAAACTTTCACCCATCCAGTTGCTCAGACCAAAAATCTTAGAATCTTCCATGCCTTTCTCTTTTTTGAACACCCTACTACTACTACTCATATCTAAACCACTTTATCTTGCCTTGAAACTCTTACTTCCATATAATTTTATGCCAGATCACGCTATTTGTTATACTTCCTTCAACGTTAAAAATATTAAAAAGATACAGAGTTGAGAATCGCATATTTTTAAAAACAGAATCATCTACACATATTGTTTTATAAGCTGACAACTTTTTCTTTCATTCAAATTATGATCACTCTTCAATAAATACTTTTAATGGAAAACTGAACTATCATATCTTTCTAAACAGTTTTAAACATTTTTTTCCATTTAGGTTGCCTTTTCCATTACCTTGCCGATTAACTTCATTTTGAAGTAGCTCTTCCATTGCTTCCTCCTCAGCAATATCTAAAGGTGTGTCTCCTTCACTGTTGACAGCTCCTACATGTGCTCCCTGACCAATTAAAAACCTATAAAATCAAAGGGAAGATAGTTAAGCAAAGATAATACAACTGAAATAAAACTGAATGAATAACCAATGTGGAAAGTTCCTATGTAAGAGTAGCAGTAAAAAACTAAGACTAGTATATGCGTTATTTAAATTTTTTTAAAACTAACATAGAGCATATTTTTCCTTTTGTATATTTATATTTCCTAATTTTTCTATATTGTCTACATACTGCTTAACTAATACGAAAAATGTTAATTTTTACTAATAACTAGAAAGTCTTTCACAGAATCATTATATACTACCTCCACTGAGATTTTTCATTATCTCTACATGTAATGGTTTCCTAACTGATGTCCATGTTCCTAGTCTCATTCCACAAGCAAGAGTTCTTAACCCAGGGTCCATGGGTAGAATTTAGAAGGTTCATAAAAAATTCAATTAATACAGATATATTAAAATATTGTTTATGCTTATCATTATTTTGAAATTAGAGTAGTTATTAAACCCACCACTAGGTCTTGTTATTTAATGTACTACTAAAGAAACAGATATACAATTATGCCATAAATGTGTTTTTCTAATAGTTTCTTAAATGAATTCCAATATAGTTGGATTCTGTGTACTCTGTATCTTATTTTATGCATCAAAAACACAATTCTAAGAAAGTATCCATATGTTTCACCAAACCTGCTAACTGGGATCCCAGTAAAAAGGTTATTAATCCCTTTCATGGTGTCAACTGCACATCTCCCAGAGTCATCTGTTTATCACTGCCCATGTCAGTTCCCAACTTCAAAACAATCTTTGAGTGATTCCTCTATGCTACTAAAAAACATGCATGGTCCTCAATGATTTGGCCTTCCTTCTTTTTCAGTTTCATTCTTCTTCCTTCCTATATCACACTTTAGGCTCCAACCATATATTAACAGAACTACTTGTAGTTCTAGATTAAACCATCTTCTATTAGCATCCCTGTTTTTACCTTTCTGTATATAAAGAATGGACCTTTTTTTAAATGTCCCTAGCCAATTTAACTCATTCACATATTTTTTTTACAGACTACATAAAAATATTCTTATTATAAAACAGTAAAAAAAAATTACAAGTCCACAGAATGGGAAAAAGAATTCCTTCATTCTCTCCTTCTATCATGTTCCTTTCCCAGAGGATAATGACTATCAGTATGGCAAAAATCTTTCCAGTACCACTGCTATGACATTTATATGTGTATATATAAACACATATATAGTTACTTTGGGGGTTATCTTTGCAAAACAAATATTAATATCATAAAACAAAATGGACTGTAATGTAACTCTTCCCTTCTAATAGCTGAAAAATATTCTATAGTATGGCTGGATCACACTTTCATCTAATACCAACCTCTTAATGGACATACTCTTAAATAGACACTGGTATTATCAGTCTTTAAAAATATCTCTCAACATGACTGACTGGGCATAACAGCTCATGCCTTAATCTTAGTAGTTTGGGAGGTCAAGGTGGGAGGACTGCTTGAGGCCAGGAGTTCCAGATCAGCCTGAGCACAAAAGCAAGACACCAACTCTACAAAAAATAGGAAAATTAGATGAGCGTGGTGGCAAGTGTCTGCAGTCCCAGCTATTTGGGACGCTGAGGCAGGAGGTTTGCTTGAGCCCAGGTGTTTGAGGTTGTGGAGAGCTACGATTATACCACTGTACTCTAGCCTGGGCAACAGAGCGATACCCTGCCTCAAAAAATGTGATGGAGATAAAATATCTTGTCATTGCTTTAATTTGTATTTCCCAATTATACACGAGGCATAAAATATTTGGATATTTTTACTGGCATTTGTATTTCTCCTTTTGTGAACTGCTTGTTTACACCTTTTGCCTATATTTCTAATGTGTTCATTAATTCAACAAACACAGAGTGTCTAGTAAGTACCTATTAATAGCACTATGTTACATGCCAGGAATACAATGGTAAGCAAAAATAAGCAGGGACTTTCCCCTCAAAAAGCTCACAGTCTAGTAAAGACTCATTACAAAAATAAATGTAAAGCTGTGATAAGTCCTATAACACAATTATGTGATGCCTTGGAATAAGTAATAGGAAAAACTGTTATAGTGAAGTCAGGAAAGGATTCTCTGATGAATATGTACATACTAAAAAAGAGAACAGAAGGACAATGTGCTTTAGAACAAAATTTACCAAAGCCCTGTGACAGGAAGTATGTATGGATAGATGTGGGCCCAATTCATTTTTCTGAGAGTAACTAAAAGTACTGATCAATCTCTACACCTTACTCCTGCTCCCACACCACTCCCCCTGCCTCTTTCTCTAACAGTGGTTATTGATAAGAGGTAGGTTAGGAGAGATTTGTATGTGCTTGGGGGCGTATATTTTGTTATCCAAGTTTTCTATTACAAGTTTGTTTTGTACGTGTTTGTCATATCACAAAAATGGCAACCATATCATTTTGTAGCTTGATGTTTTTACACTTAACATGTAAACACTTTCAAGATCTTCATGGGACTTCTATAAACTGAGGTTGTACTTGAATTAAGGTACTTTTTGTTTCTGTTTTGTTTTCATACTTTTAAAAAATGTAATATAACATTAAATAAGAACATTTCCTTATATACTACAAATAAATAAGGGTCTGAAGCAGAAAAATAACATAAGCAAAATAAGAAACTGTAATGTCCCAGGAGACTATGTAATTATTCTGGTAGGGAAAAATCCCTATCCATAAAATACTTCTATTCTGCTTAGGTATTAGAAATCATTCAAAGGATATAAAGACTGAGACTAGAAGAAATATCTCAGAGTAGCTAAAGTGCTTGAAGCAGAGATAGCTATATGGGAAGCAGAGTTTCAAGGAAATACCAAGTCAAAGCCAAATACAGACAATCTAAAATTTATATAAACAGGAAGGATGTTAAGGGAAACTAACAAGAGTAAAGTTCCAAAACTGCTGGCAGGAAGCAAGGCCTACAGCAATCCTTGAGCCAAAAGTTTAGGTACATATGTATGTATGCATGCATAGAATTCACAAACCTCTCTTGTACCCCAAAATTATCATTTGCAAATATAAACATAAAAATACATACTTGAAGAAAAATAATAAAATTCCACAGCATTAATTCTTATCTGCCGTGAAGAATCTCCAAAAGCCACTCAGAGGTTGGTGGGGTAAAACTTTAATGCTCTGCATACTTTGGGTTTAGTTCCAACCTCTGCTTACTGACAACTATGTGACATTCATTAACTTTAACACTTGAAGCTTAATTTATAAAATAACACACAGGGCAGTGTGAAGTTCAAATGAGTTAAAAATAAAATCAAAATACTAACTCTTATCACATCATGCAAAATCATCACAGTTAGAAAGCAACGTTTGGGCTGGGCTTGGTGGGTCATGCCTGTAGTCCTAGCACTCTAGGAGGCCGACGTAGCAGGAAGAGTAAGATCCAGTCTCTACTTAAAATAGAAAAATTTAGCCAGGCATGGTGGTGCACCCTTGTAGTCCCAGCTACTCAGGAGGCTGAGGCAGGAGGATTGCTTGAGCCCAGGGGTTTGAGGTTGCTGTGAGCTAGGCTGACACCATGGCAGTCTAGCTAGGGCAACAGAGTGAGACTCTGTCAAAAAAAAAAAAAGACAGAAAGAAAGCAATGTTTGAGATAATGTGAAACAAAATACAGGCTACCTGGAATATAAGAAGTTTACTTTGAGGGACCCTGGAGATATTGAAGACAGCTAGCTTTCCTTCAGAACAACAAAAGCTGGGGTATTAGAAGCAACTTGTGTTACCGCTAATTACAAAAAATATGCCATACTTATTTTAAGATTTCTTAGAAAGAAAAAAAACCAAACAGCTTTCACATGAATCCCCAATTCAAGGTCAGAATATTGGACTGCTTTTCAGATGAACAACTATATTGAATACTTCAGGGCAAAGAAAATCCATATTTTCTTAACAATGGTTAATGATTTCCTTAAGCAATACAAAAGTGGCCAACATAAGAGATGCCAGCTAATGCAGGATCCTTAACAAACTGTAAAAATGAACAATGGTAAAAACTTAAAGGTTTAATTGAGATTTATAATATTCTAGCAACTCTGATTTAATAATTTTGCATAAACAAATGAATAAGCTTCAAAATTTTATAAAATTATCTGTATGCGTGCTAACTGTAAAATCTAACAAAAGGTATAATGTTGTTAACAAAACTACTGGTTGCAACTTGAATATGGTACATTACATAAACAGGTAGGATTCTATCTGTGTTAAATGAATTTGGAAGACAAATTTTGATAGTCTCTGTATCTTTTGAGTTTTGTGAAAAACCAAACCACAGAAGAGATTAAGAAAGTGAAATGGTTCATTTAAAAAATTTGATCTTGGCCGGGCGCTGTGGCTCACGCCTGTAATCCTAGCTCTTGGGAGACCGAGGCGGGCGGATTGCTCAAGGTCAGGAGTTCAAAACCAGCCTGAGCAAGAGCGAGACCCCGTCTCTACTATAAATAGAAAGAAATTAATTGGCCAACTGATATATATATAAAAAAAAATTAGCCGGGCATGGTGGCGCATGCCTGTAGTCCCAGCTACCCGGGAGGCTGAGGCAGAAGGATCACTCGAGCCCAGGAGTTTGAGGTTGCTGTGAGCTAGGCTGACGCCACGGCACTCACTCTAGCCTGGGCAACAAAGTGAGACTCTGTCTCAAAAAAAAAAAAAAAAAAATTTGATCTTTCAATAAAAACCCTTCAAATGAGAACATACTGAACAAAGACAAAAAAAGCAAATTCATTGGCAAGAGCTGATATATTTAGTGTACAAATTTAATGTATATTTTCTTATTTGTTGTAAGAAAATTAGTATCAAGAAGTTATTTTAACCAATACATGATTTTTTAAAAATCAGAAAGTCAGCAAAATAGCATTGTAATAGTTTTGTTTCTTGAAAATACAAATTAATTACTCAAAGTCATCCATGTGAAAGAGAAACTATGAAAACTAAGCTACTTGAACTTTTAAAAGATAGGTTAAGTAGAACATTACACTATTAACTTCAGAAATAAATGCTATTTTCTTTTGCATGTTTCTGAGCAACAGAAATCACAAAACAGAGTAAATAATCTCATCAATCTTTAATCGGAATATACTTTCCCATTTCCTTTTGGAAGTTCTACACCATAATGAAAAATAGTGGGTAACGTTAAGAATCCAAACAAGAGTTCTTACCTGGGAACTTTGAAAGTTTTCTTAAAAATGACAGTTCTTGGCCAGACATGGTGGGTTACGTCTGTAATCCTAGCACTTTGTGAGGCCAAAGCCAGAGGATCACTTGAGACCAGGAGTTTGAGACCAGCCTGGGCAAAATAGCCAGACCTCATCTCTACAAAAAATTTAACAAATTAACTGGCCATGGTGGAACATGCGTATAGGCCCAGCTATTTGGGAGGCTGAGACAGGAGGATCATTTAAGGCCAGGAGTTCCAGGCTGCAGTGAGCTACAATTGTGTCAGACTGGGCTACAGAGTGAGACACTGTCTCTACAAAACAACAAAAACCGTTTTTTCCTTTTAGCACTTGAAAAAGGTACCACTTCTGGCCACCATGATTTCTGGTGAGAAATCTGGTGTTCTTCAAATTGTTTTCCCCCTACAGTATAGTTTCCTTCTGTTTTCAAGATTTTTTTCCTTTAATTTTCAAATATTTGCATATGGCATGTCTTGGTGTAGACTGCTTTGGTTTATCCTGTTTGGAATTTGCTAAGCTTCTTGAATCTGCAGGTTTATGCCTTTTGTCAAATTTCAGGAAGTTTTTGGTAATCATTTCTTTGAATATGTTTTGGCCATGCCCTTTTTCTCTACTTATTCTGAGAGATTCTGATGGCACGAATGTTAGCCCTTTGTCATAGTTCTTGAGGCTCTGTTCATTTTATTTTCTCTCTGTTGTTTGGATTTGGCAAATTCTATTGTTCTATCAGTTTACTAATTCATGCATCTATCCCTTATATTCTGCTGTTGGGCTCATCCATAGAGTTTTTTATTTTAGATATTGGCTTTTTTCAGTTCTATCAATAAAACTGCCATTTGGTTCTTCATATCTTCTATTTCTTTGCAAGTTTTCTGTTTTTTTTTTCTAAGACTTTCAAGTAAGTTTTTTCATTTGTTTTAAGCATGCTCACAATTGTTTGTTGAAGTATTTTTAGGATAGCTGCTTTATAATCTTTGTCAGATAATTTTACTTTTTTAATTTGCAACACACTTTTTTATTATTTTTTAATTTCAGCATATTAAGGAGTACAAATGTTAAGGTTATGTATATTGCCCTTGTCCCCCTCCTCCCTTGAGTCAGAGCTTCATGCATGTCCATCCCCCAGATGGTATGCATCACAATCATTACCTATGTATATACCCATCCCCTTCTCCCCCCTCCCATCTGCCTGATGCCCCATAAATGTTATTCCTATATGTCCACTTAGGTGTTGATCACTGAAAGCAATTTGCTGGAGAATACATGTGGTACTTATTTTTCCATTCTTGGAATACTTCACTTAGAATGGGTTCCAGCTCTATTCAGGAAAATATAAGAGGTGCTATATATCACTGTTGTTTCTTATAGCCAAATAGTATTCCATGGTATACATATACCACATTTTATTAATCCACTCATGTATTGATGGGCACTTGGGTCATTTCCACATCTTTGCGATTGTGAATTGTGCTGCTATAAACATTCAAGTACAGATGTCTTTTTTATAGAATGTCTTTTGTTCTTTGGGTAGATGCTCAGTAATGGGATTGCTGGATCAAATGGTAAATCCACTTGTATCTCTTGTCTTTTTTATAGAATGTCTTTTGTTCTTTGGGTAGATGCTCAGTAATGGGATTGCTGGATCAAATGGTAGATCCACTTGTATCTCTTTAAGGTATCTCCATATTGTTTTCCACAGAGGTTACACTAGTTTGCAGTCCCACTAGCCGTGTATGAGTGTTTCTATCTCTCCGCATTCACGCCATTGGTCAGATAATTTTAATATTAACATCTCTGTCATGCTGTGTTGGTCTCTATTTGTCTTTTTTCATTCAATCTGAGATCTTCTTGATATAACAATTTTCAATTAAAACCTGGACATTTTGGGTATTATGTTCTGAGACTCTAGATCTTACTTAAATCTTCTATTAGTTGGCTTTGTTTGATTCTGCTTCAACAGAGGTAAGTAGGGAGGTGTCATCTCATTACTGCAAGGTGGTAGCAGGCTTTAGGTACCACTTTGTCCTCTAGGGAATTCAATGCTGTGTTGTTCTTTGGGTCCTGGAGATCCCTAGCTCTCTCTAACTTTCAGAATCTTTTTGTACTTTATATATAACGTTCAGGGTTTTTAGCTGTACATAGAAGGAATAATAAGGAAAAGCATGTTTATTTTATCTTTCCAGAAGCAGAAATTATGGTGGGTTTTTTTGTTGTTATTTGTTTTTGAGACAGGGTCTCACTCTGTTGCCCAGGCTAGCATGTAGTGGCACTGTCATAGCTCACTGCAACCTCAAATTCCTGGGCTCAAGTGATTCTCCTGCCTCACTCTCCCAAGCAGCTGGGACTACAGGCGTGCACTACCAGACCTGGCTAATTTTTCTATTTTTTTGTAGAAATGGGGTCTCACTCTTACTCAGGCTGGTCTTAAACTTCTGGCCTCAAGCAATCCTCCTGCCTTGGTCTCCCAAAGTGTAAGGATTACAGGTGTAAGTCACTGCACCCAGTGCCTCTCTCAATTTTAATTATCAAAAAATTGCAATGTTCATCACATTAGCATCTTTAACTTTTTAAAAACATTTCAGTTTGCCAAAACACACAGCCAAAAGTGTTAGGTAGATAGTGAGGGATTCTGGGTCTCCCAAGGACAAAAGTGGATGCTTTGTCTTGGAGCAATTGTCCCACCCTAATCCTCTCCATACCTGGGGGAAGAGGAAATAACCTCCAAATCCGCCAATCATTGATAACTTAGTGCGCCAGCTGCAAAACAGTGCAGAGGACTCTCTAGCCCACCACAAAACTGCATAGGTACCACAGAGTCCAGAAATTGACTAGAACAACCCACATGCATAGTAATGCAACTACCAACTGTCCAATCAAGGTGACCTCTGTACCGGGAGGGCCCATTCCAGGCACTATAAAAGATGACACAGACCATAACTGTGCCCTTCCTTTGCTCTCCTTTTGCTTCGATAATGGGTCCAGTTATCATCTGTGGCATTATGTATCATGTAAATCTGTATCTTGCTCTTGCTCTATAATCCTATCTTGCTCCCCATCAGTAAATTTTACCTCATGCTTGCCATACGTTGCTAAGTCTGGTCATTCTTCAGCCAAGAGCACAGCAAGCACTGAGAACACAGAACAAGATTGGCAAACCTGACATACATGCTGGTCCATTTATTCTATCAAGTGTTAGAGTTAATTTACTTCTCTAGTATCTGGAAGTTTGAAGATGAGGGACTATGTTGCAGTCATTTTTAAATCTCACAATGTCTAAGGTTATATAGGAACAGTTGTGATATAATGGAAAGAACATCAGAATTTGAACCTCAGGAATAAGGGTCCAGTTCTGACTGCAAAATAGAAATAACAGTAAACATTCCCAAAAATTTCCTTCAAATATTGAATAAGAATGTATGTGAGAACATTATCTTTAACTTTAGGCAAATATACCTCATTGTTAACTATATACAGCAAGATATAAACATCTAAAAACTTTAATATTTTCATAAGATCATAGATTTAATTTCCCTTTATCTAACTTCTAATCAAAATATATGGTGTGCTTTACGCTAACAAAGAGTATCATTTTTGACAAGAAACATGTAAATAAAACCAAAATACATGGATTTGCCAAATTTACTTGTGGCCCAAATAATTTCTTATCAATGAAAATATGACAAATAATAGATCATTCTCCTCTGCTCCTCTCATCTAGATAGGTTTGTCATAAAACCAAAAAACAAGATGACAATTCCTTTGTTAAATAATCCAGGAAAACAAAGAGCTTACCTATTTTTCACTAGAAAGTGATGACCAAAAATTATTGTTAACATTTATTGAACTATAAATATTTGCCATATATTGTGCCAACTATCTTATATATGTGATCTCATTTAATCTTACAAGTATTAATATTTCCATTTTACAGATGAGGAAATAAAGGCTCAGAGAAGCTGGTAATTTGTCTAAAGTTAACCGCAATTACTTGACAAAATTATGATTTAAACAGAGTTGTCTGATTCCTCAGCCTGAGCTCTTAGTCACTGTATTATAATGTTTCTTGGAGGTGACGGGATAAGATTTATTTTCTCAAACTTGGTAAGAATTTCTGAAATTCTTGAAATTTCTATTTTCAAAGCACCAAAAATAACATTACTAAATTCCTGACAGGCATCAGCAGATGCAAAGGCCATGAAGCAAGATACCTAGTTTATTTAAAGGCTCAGCAAGGGGACCAGGGTGGCTACAGGACAAACCCTGAAAAGAATGGAAGATGGAGTCAAGAGAGGTCACACTGGGGTCCGAACTACAGCCTTGCAGGCCACAAGAACTTGAACTTCTTTCTACCTTGAATGCAGTATAAATCTACTGGATAGCTTTGAATAAAAATGTGATGTTATATGACTTGAAATATTTTAAAAGGCTCATTCCAGGGGCTGTGAGGAAAACAGATGTAGTTATGCTTAGAGGAGGCAACTGCAATAATTCTAGTGAAAAACAATAGTGCCCAGAATAAGGGAGAAATGAAAAAGGTGATATTGGGTATATACTGAAGGCTGAGCCAACAGAAATCTTGAGGATTCTGCTAGATGCTTATGGAATAAAGGTAATAATAATAATAATAAGAAGAAGAAGTAGAAAAGAGAATAATAAGAAAAGCCAACCCATAAATAAGCCACCACAAATATTTTTAAATTGTCAGATCCTTAAATAGCTGCTTCTTTAATGATCAAGTGACAAAGCTAATAAAACTTTTTCCATACTGTAAATAAGACCATGAAAATATCACTGAATATAATCATTCTATGAACACTTTATAATAAGATATGAAATCTTCAAGAACAGTGTCTTTAAAATTATTCCAAACAAGAAGAAAAATATATTAAATATACCAATTAATCAATATTCTATGCTATGTTCTATGAAACCACATAATGCTAGGTTAATATAGGGTCAATTTTCCTCTTACAGCGGAAAATTTAACATTAAAGCTACTCAAGATAAAAGCATTCCTGGGCTGAGCATAGTGGCTCACGCCTACCTGTAATCCCAGTACTTTGGGAGGCCTAGGCAGGGGGATCCCTTGAAAACAGGAATTCAAGACCAGCCTGGGCAGTACAGACACTCTCTCTATAAAAACTAAAAAAAAAAAATTAGTGGTGTTCACCTGTAGTCTCAGCTACTTGGGAAGTTGAGGCAGGAGATGGGAGGATTGTTTTAGCACAGGAGTTGGAGGTTACAGTTAGCTATGATTGTGCCATTGTGCCACTTCACTCCAGCCTGGGCAACAGAGTAAGACCTCCCAAAAAAAAAAAAGGGAAGGGGAGAGGGAAGGGAAGGGGAAAAGGAGGGGAAGGGGAGAGGGAGGGGAAGGGAAGAAAGGGGAAGGGAGGGGAGGGGAAAGGGGAGGGGAGGGGGAGGGGAGGGGAAAGGGGGATGGGAAGGGGAGGGGGACAGAGGGCAGAGAAAAGGGGAGGGGGAGAACACAGTAGGTGCCCAATAAATGCTCCCACCCTACATAAAAAGGAGCCTGAACCTTACTCAAAGGATAAATTCCCACACTGTAAACTATGGTTTGCATTCTCCCTTTACATAAGGAAAAACTTGAGCCTCATGGAGACTGAGTGACTTGCCAGAAGTCACTTCTCCAGTGGATAACAGAGCTACCGTTTGAAACTGCTCCAAAATCCATGCTTGTCCTTCAACGTTGCACATTCCCTACTATTACCTTTCTTTTTTTCATAAATCCCAAGTGTTAATTTCCAACAGAGATACATAGAGTCCTATACTGCCGACAACGGAATTCACACAGGAGGGGAATGCAACAGTAACTTGGGAGGCCGAAACCCTAAGAGGACATCTGGAGGTCATGTTTTGGCACAGGAGAACAATACACAACTGGCCAAGAAAAGCAGGTGACTGTACACAAACTAACAAAGATCTTCTGTCTCTGGCTAAGTTATAAATTAAAGCTGGCTAAGTTAATCTCCCAGAGAAAACCTTCTTTTAAAAAGTAAAGTAAACTTCTCTTCAAACTTACAAAAGTGAAATCTTCAGCAAAGCACTGATTTTGCCTTTCAGAGCCAACATTCTCCAGAATTTTGGAGCAGAAAAAAAGGGCAAAGATTCAGGTCAGGGGGCCTGAGTTTGAATCCCAATTTTACTACCTACCAGCTGTGAGAGTTTTAAGTGACCTCACTGAA